TAGTTGCTGGCTGGGGCTAAACCACGACAGTAATTCATACCTATATACAGCTTTGCTACTTCTGTACACTCTTATGTGTTAAGGTGTAGCCTGACACCCTCACACTTGGATGAATATCTGTGTTGCTAATCTTAAATATAAAACTTTAAAAAAGTTGTTCAGTCTCACTGCCCCTCATCTATAAGTCAGATGTTACTGTAGTATGGAAGAAGCGAGGAGTAATACCACAGGAAAGTTAAAGATGCGATTTGAAAATCTTGAGAATATATACATTTTCCCATCTTTAGTGAGCAATTTTGTACTTAAATCTCAAGCTGAGAGAACACTATCATGACACATGCATTGTATAACACATTCTGTGCTAAGACATTGGTGTGACTCTAGTGATGTAGAGGATATTTGCAATACAGAGTTTGTGTTAGTAGAAGGAGAAGCTATACCTCATTGCCAGGATTACGGCAGTATAATTTTTGTAGAGGACTTCCCTGAAAAAGCACAAGAACGTAAGAAATTTTTAGCACCACTGACTAAGCCATGCTGCTCCCTGAAGTAGTGTAATTCTTTTAAATCTTTCACCTACAACAGTTTGATAGACAGAGTCCATTTATAGCTAGTTATCTAATAAATTACTTTTTAATGGAGAAAACTTACTTTTAATGGGGTTAGGAGTGCCTATAAATACCAGTGCTAATATGCCAGTGCTTTGTGTATATTGACTATGTGAATTTACAAAACAACTCTCACCCTACTTGCATAACTTATGATAATTTTTGTATCTGAAACCTTTCAAGCTTTTTATTAGCTGAACTAATTGGTTGCTAGGAAATGTATGCCATCAGTGGACTGGTTTGCAGATTGGATTAACTTGTCTGTGGGAGTTTGGTATTTCTATGGCAACAGTTTCTTCCTTCTGCTGTGATATTTGATCTGTGCCTGACTGCCTGTCCCTTTTCTTCCTCATTAGTCTGCCTTAATCACAGTGAATGAGCCCAGGGGCAGAAATGAATTTGTGCCTCTCACTCTAATTAGGGAGAGGGGAACCTATGGGACGGTCATCGTAACTTTTGAGGTGAGCTTATTGAAAAATCTTTATACCTTAGTCTGTTGGATGGAACTGTGAGGCCATAATCATAACTTAACTAAGTGGTTATAAAAGTGAAAGGGGGACAAATACCTGTGTCTGCATATTTTTTTTTAGATTTTTTTTAGATTTTTTTTTTAGATTGGATATTAGGAAAAATTTCTTCACAGAAAGGGTAGTCAAGCATTGGACCAGGCTGCCCAGAGAGGTGGTGGAGTCACCATCCCTGGAAGTGTTCAAAAAACGGGTAGACGTGGCACTTTGGGACATGGTTTAGTCTAGTCTACCCTTGATTGGTTTAGAGTAGACTTGGTAATGTTAAGTTAATGGTTGGACTGGATGATCTTAAAGGTCTGTTCCAACCTAAATGATTCTATGATTCTGTGATTTTTTAAATCTGTTTCATAAAAAGGAAAGATATTACCTGTCAAATGGAAAATATTGTAATTATCTGACTGTTTAATTTGAGGAAAAATTATGAGATATTAGAAAAAACTGAGTATTTACTGTCATTTGGGAAGATATTTGAGGCAGCATTAGTTGGTATTACTAGAAAAAAATGTGTATTAAGTGTGTAAAGAAATGTGTTATTTAATATTTCTTCAGATTTTATCTATGTTTTACAAATAAACATCTGAGTGAGTCTTTAATACTTGTGCCAACTTTGAGCATAGAAGTATGAGAGCTCAGTATTTAGTGAAATTCTGTATCTGTAAGACTGAAGTTTGAATCCCCAGAAACTAAACCACTCATGTTGAATACTTAGGCTGTTATTATGTACTTGGTATGAATGTGATACATTTATTGCATTTGTTGGTGGGGTTTTTTTTCGCCCTTATCTAGCTCCAACTGTATTACATACTTTAAAAGTATATATAAATTCTTTAATATGGATATTTTTTTATGAGTTGTCTGGTGTTATATGTCATCAATGGTTTAATCTAGACCTGTCAAAATCTGAAAAGATTTGTACTGGATTTTACTGCATACTAAATATAGCGTTTATACTTAAAGTACAGAATGAGATTCTTTGTGTAGTTTATTGCAGATCTATTTGTTTTAAGCTCCAATAGATTTTACTATCTGCACAATTAATCAGGTCCATCTCACAGTGTAGTTTTTATATATATATGTTGAAAAAAAATTACAAGACTTTCTAAAAAAAATCACCATATTGCCTTTAAGTGACTTCCTAGCCTTTTAGGTTTCACTGTTAAATGTAATATCCTTAATATCACAAGTGAAGATAGAAAGAACACAAAACCAGTAACTGCTATTATTTTGTCTTGGAACTTAAATTAAATTAGAATAAATATCCTTTCTGCTATGCGAAAGAGTCAAATATGCATCAGTAAATACCAAGGAGTCCTCATAGACCTATAAGGAAGTAGTTTTCTTCCTCTTTTTCTGGCAATACATAATTTCTTCAGCATGGTTACTTGTGACTTACTCCACCTGCCAAAAAAGAGCAGGTTTTCACAACTGAATGTGTGTGCCTATGAGCAGGAGATGACTGAATAGATAGTAGTTTGTCATGCATGTCACACACTGTATATTGATTATTGTACTAGATTTGTATTCCTGTTTTATATATTTCTTATCATAAAAATCAATTCTTTGCAGTTAGAAGATGGACCAAACCCAGCTGAAGAAGACTTGAGTCCAGCTAGGGGAAATATTACATTTAACCCTGGGAGATCAGTGCTGATTTATAATTTAACAGTGCTTGATGATCAGGTAAGAACAAGCTGACTTCATTTTTGGTTTGGTTATGTAGAAGCTTAACTGCTGTTCTGAAGAGACTTAGAGTAGTAAGTTACAAAAATGCTTGCTTTAAATAAGGTTAAAAGTGCTTCTACTTAATAAAGTGATGTTAAATATTGGCTCTATGAACTGTCATTTTTACTCCTTCTAATACTACCTCTGTAATTATCATCAGTGAGTGTTTTTAGTTTCTGAGCATATCCTGGCTGCTCTGACTAGACCTGTTAGGTGCTACTGCAGTGGAAGTATAAATGATCAGGAAAGCTTTATACTTCTTTTTTCAGATGGAATACTGAGGTCCTTGTTGTATGGCCAAAGATGATGTTCTTGAACTAGATCTAGGTTTACCTATTAGACTGTCCTTTCTGTATTTAAGTTTTATGTATTTCTTTTTAAATGTGCTTTTCCATAATTGTCTGCCTTGCAAATTCAGGTTATGTTTGCATAATGAACTCAGGCTCTGCTTTTTGTCCTTATTAATTGTTTAGGCAAAAGGAACCTAATGATAACATTGCTTACATGATGCATTTTTGATTACATCCTCAGTGATGCCTGTGCAGCTCCTCTGCCTTCAGTTAACAATGCATAAGAATCCAGTTGATTCTTTGTTAACTTGATTGGCTCTCATTCATGTGAAGAACAGACATGTTATGTTTGCTACTAAAGAAAGAAAATAACACATTGAATATTCACAGAGAAAAGATAGATTGAAAAAAAGTTATATGTTTTTATATAAATGTGTGTCAGGGTAGAAACATATTTTTAAAAATACTTCTAAAAATAGATAAGATTCCTAAAAGAAACAGGCAGTCTTGTGAAGAGTGAATGAACACTAGGTGATAAATAAAATTTTTCATTTTTTAGATTGGTCTTTTAAAAAAAAAAAAAGTTTAGATGTTGTAAGCCTTTCTTTCTATTTCAGACTAAACAAAACATTCTACTTTTCAATTTGTGATTTTAATTTTTCTTACACATGCTTTTCTTTTCTGCTTTTTTTTAATTTATAATGGGGATGAGAGGGAAAATAGAGGCACCAAATGTAAATATGATACAGAACAACTTAATGAGGAAATTCACAATAAAAAATTAATAGCAAAAAGTGCCTGTCTCAGAAGTGAGCAGCTTTAAAGCTGTTAGTTATAAAAAGTGGTTTTCTACATCTATACTGGTACTTTTAACGTTAAGAGTCTGTGCCAGGCTGGTGTACAGAAACATTTCTTTCAGGTTAGATGTAATATTTCTGTGACTTATACACAGAAAGGAATCATTAGGCTTTTGGGGAAAATGTGATTCACACCCCCACCCCCCCCACCCCGAGAAATGCTCTCAAAGTTTTGTTTCTCAAAGTTTGATCTGTACAGGTGTGGGTAGTCCACTCAGTGAAAGTCTTTCACAGGCATACTTAAAAGATTCATTTTGTGTAAAAAACCTTTATTGATGATGATGATGATGGTGATGAAATTAACAAGAATCCAACTTTAGTCTCAGATCTTAGTTTGAGCTTTTAAGATCAGAAGTTAGGAAAAACAATGAAACAAGTATTTTTCTGAATTGGGTAGCACCTTTTCTACAGGAATTAGGGAACTGCAGATCTGATCTCCACAGCAGTACGTTTATGTAGTTTTATTGTGTACATTTCCTTTTTTAGTGAGTAATAATGAAACTTTGTTAAGAGAAAATGAAAGAGGCGAGGCAGCACTGGAAATCCTTTATACTGTTGTCTTTGAAATTTGGCTATTTTTTTTTATTTGTCAGTCATGATGCCATTAAGAACTCCAGAATGTCCCATATATAAGGTGTAAATGACAACAAGACATATTGACTGTCTCTTCAATGTGTATTTTTGTGGTGCAAGGTGGTATATTAATTAGTGAACTAAAGAAATGTAAGTTAGCATCTATTCTAATCAGGTAAAATAACTGTGTTGTATCTCAGTATAGGAGAGAGGTGACAGAGAGCTTCCAGATCTCACATTGACAAACAAGAATGCATCAGTGAACAACATTATGCAAGTTTAAGTGCCACAAGCCAAACAAGGGACAGAACTGGCATCAGCTACAAAGGCAGTTCCATGCCCACTCTCTTAGCCCTAGAAAAGGATTTGAGGGTGGCCAATTAATAAATGAGTGTGAAAGAGAAGAAATATTGGACAGCAGGGTTTTCAGAACTTTTTTAGCTTTGTAAACAAAAATGCATGAAAAGGATTTGTCAACTTTATACGTTTAGCGAATCAAGATTTGGGGAATTAAATCTAGTAATATCAAGCAAAAATCTCATCCTTAAATTCTGTAATTTGCAGTTTATAAGCCATTCTTTATTTTCTGCTGCATCAGATATTGGAGAAGAAATAGCTAAAGCTAAAATGTAGTATTAAACAGTAATCTTGTAGAAATGCTGAAGCCTAATTAATTGCTAAGCACCAGAAAATGCTTTCTCCGATCTGTGATGGAAATTTTCCCTGGGGATGTGGGTGTGTCTGAACGTAGGAAATGTTCCTTTTTCAGTTATATAGTAATGGATGGGCCAAAGTAGGTTGTGTCCATAAGTTGTTCCTGTATTATCTCAGGCATGCATAGAGGTTAATCCATATCAACATCAGAAAATCAAGATGTAAATCTAAATAACTGGTAGGAACATTTGTGTCCAAATAGAGGTAATTTCCAAAAGTAGAGTTTGTATCTCCTCATACTCTCAAGTTGGAAAGATCCAGCTTTTTCTGATTCTTGCCTGGATTTTGTTTTGCTTTTATTGCAGATATTTGCTTTTTCATATTGCCAGAGCACAGAATTGGGTTTTAGAAAATGGAAACATTCAATTTTGAGAAGGGATTTTCAGCCAAAATTAAAAACCAGACTTCTCCCTTGTTTGTTTTAATATGAAATGAGCTGTCAAGTTTGTACTTTTTCCCTTTTCTGCAAAATATGTAAAACATATTTCTCAGTAAGTGTTCTGCGTGTATTTGAAATGCGACTTACCCCCAGTTGCTAATATTATTTTTCCAGATACCTGAAAATGATGAATTGTTTGTTGTTCATCTGAGGAGCGTGGAGGGAGGGGCTGAAATCAACGACACAAAAAATTCTGTTCAGATTAATATTAAGAAAAATGACAGTCCTGTGCGTTTTGTTCAGAGTGCTTATATGGTATCTGAGGAAGTTGACGTGGTAACAATTCAAGTGGTTCGTGGTAAGGACGTCAGTGGAACATTAATCGGACCTGATGAACATGAAGTCTCTGTCAGTTATGCCATCATAACTGGGAATTCAACAGCACATGCACAGATTAATGTAGACTTCCTAGATCTACAGCCAAATACAACTATTGTCTTCCCACCTCTGGTTCATGAAACTTATATGAAATTTAAGATCCTTGATGATGCCATACCAGAAATTGCTGAGACCTTTCAGATTTTGCTTCTTAAGAACACTTTGCAGGGAGATGCTGTTTTGGTTAATCCATCTGTTGTTCATGTCACCATCCAACCAAATGATAAACCCTATGGAGTACTATCAATCAACAGTATCCTGTTTGCTCAGACTGTTATCATTGATGAAGACCAAATTTCAAGGTACTACAGATCTTCAAATCTAGTATCTGGTCAGTTTAAGAGATTTTTTTGGCATTGTTAAGCATCCTTAGGATTTCATTGAAAGTAATTATAAAATCACTACTGAGAATAGAATGTAGAAATCACTTAGTGTGTTGTTATTATTATCAACTATATCTACAAAGATTTCAAGAACGTGGGAACGTCTAATTATACAGGAAGTTTTTTAATATTTATGAACCCTATATAAAAACTCTAAATATTTAATCACATTATCAGAATACTGAAACACCCTTAATCTAAAGGCAGGATCAATGAAGTCATGATGCTGCCACACACCAGTTTGTACAACTTGGAAAAAAAGTTCTGGTTTCCATCCCTGGTAAATCTTTGGATTTAATACATATAACATCAGTCTCTCGTTAAAAAAAAAAAAAGGTGATTGAGTGTCTCTCATGAAGTACTTACTTTAAACTTAAAAAGAAGTTAAATATTTGTAACTTTACAGGGAGATTAAAATCAAAGCTCTGTAAAAATTTTACAGGCAGGACTGATACACAATATTGACAGTCTTAGTAAAAATATCCACTGCTAGCTACTGATGGTAGTTCATCCCCAGAGAAACAGGTAATGCATCAAGCTATCATACATGAACAATTTCGAAAGAATATTTTATAGTATGTAGAGCTCAGCACTTCAGTGTTCATCCATCTTTCTTATACACAGTAAAGAAAGAGATCTTGCTTTCTAAATTTTTGTAAGTCATGATTCCCAGATGTTTTGTTGTAGCATTGTGCTTGTCAGATGCAGTAAACATGACATTTCCAGTATTATAAATATTGATAACTTAATATTTCAGTGCAGAGGCAAATAGTTTATTCAGAATCATTATTTAAATATTCATGCCTAACAACTGTATTTTGATATAGTTTATAAAATGGTGTAGAAAGTTAATAAAGTTTTCTGAAATTTGACATGTATTTCTCAAGAAAAATATAAAACATGCCAAGTCTCCACTTCTCAGTATCTTTCTCGCTGTAAACAAAATAAGTTCTAACAAATATCTTTAGAGACATTAGAGAGAGCTCATGAATAAGCATGCTAAGAAAAGTCTTACATGTGTGTTATGATTTCACAAACTTCAAGCCCTGACTCAAATGTCAGTTGCAGAAGTTAACATTTATTCCACTGAAGTCAGTGCAGATCTTTCAGGGAAGTAATAACTAAGCAAGCCAGTATTAATTATAGTTTTATATTATGGGTTTTTATTTTCATGCAAAACCATAGGTTTGAAGGGATCACAATTGTAAGAAATGGTGGAACACATGGAAATGTTTCTGTTACCTGGGTTATAACCCGAAATAGCAGTGATCCCTCACCTGTGACTGCAGACCTCTTTCCAGAGACTGGGGAGACATGTTTTGATCAAGGACAGATGTTGGTAACACTTCCTCTGAACGTTATTAATGATGATATACCAGAAGAGGCAGAGCCCTATCTTCTGAAACTCTTGGCTCACACAATACAGGGAGGTGCAGAAGTCAGTGAACCATCTGAGGTAAGTTTGCTTTAGAATTGTTTTGGAGAAGGTAATAATAGCTAATAATTGGGGACTTTACCAGTTTTGATAACATTGATGACTAGCTAAACTGGCTAAACGGTTTGTGCTTGAATATAAATCAAACAAATTAATTCTTAATATAATCTTAGTATATAGATCCATATCCAGAATAGTGTAGTATAGTGTACCAAAGCCAGACCTTTTTAATACAGTAGCATTCAGCTTAGATTATTCCCAACATACACAGCATTGCATAAATGCTGTCTTGAGTGACTGCTTGCTAAAAGAAGGCAGGAAAGTTATTTTCACTTGCTCATTTGCTGTCTTAATGATTATTGGAATGTTTTATACAGAGTAACAGCTTTAAGAGGAGGGTTTGGTGATTAAGACTGTAACCTTTGAACTCTTAAATAAAGGGTGGCTAGCATTGCTGACAGTTTTGTGACTCAAGTCCTTACTTTGCTTTTCTTAAAAATAGTTAGAATGAACTCGGTGAATAAAACGAAATTTTTCACAATCTGAAACATTTTAAAGTTTTTCACTTTGGCTGCTGAAACAAAAAACTAGTTACTCAGAGCTCATTGTGGCACATGGATGATGCATAGTGGGAAAGTTGCCACTGTCAGTGTTGTGCTGCTTGTGTACAAAGAATACCTTGGGGTTGTCAATCTGATTTCTTTCTTGAGTGCCAATTCACTAAGGAGAAAAAATGTATGCTGACAGTCAGGACATGCTTTTGTGAAAGCATGAAAACTATGTTATACAGTAACTGTAGCATAAAGTAAGTGATGCTGTTTTCTGTTTTGCAGCTTTTGTTTTACATTCAGGACAGTGATGATGTTTATGGCCTAATAAAATTTTATCCTTTGGCAAATCAGAAGATTGAAAGTAATCCAACGGGACGCTTTTTATCCTTGAGTTTTGCAAGGGAGAGAGGAACAGTTGGAGATGTGCAGTTGGTTTATACTGCACTGTATATTCCAGCTGGAGCTCTGGATCCTGAGAGAGCGAAAGATGGCATTCTAAATATGTCTAGAAGAGGCATTCTTATGTTTCCAGAAGGAAAAACACAAGATACTTTAAATATACCAATAAGAAATGATGCGTTTCTTCAAAATGGTGCTCATTTCCTCATACAGGTATCTCATCTGTGTTTTGGGGTGTTTTTTTACCCCATTTAATATAAAGGATATAATTTAGTAGTGGTTCCTTCCCTTTTAATTTAATTAAAATGATCCTACCTCTTTAAAAAAAAAAAAAAAAAAAGTTATTAGCTCTGTAGCTAAGAAAACTTTCTTATTTAGAGACAGTTTGCATAAATATGCCATAAAGAGCTCTATTCCTAATCATTATGTACTAATTACACCATTTTTAAAAAATAGACTGTTGTAACAGGATTCAGGTATTAATCATGGAATTCAGCAAAATGAGATCAATGTTGCAGAAGTTAGTTACCTTTTGAGGTATGTTTCTCTATTCCTTAGCTTTCAATTTAACCAAATTAAGGTTCTTAAAATTTAATTACAGAAGCATGATAAATTTTAGAAATGACGCAAGTAAATAAAAATAGTCAAACATATGTTATATTTCATTTATGTATGAATTTGAATTTTGACTCTTGAAAAGTTTCCTTGCTTCTTCTCCCCACATGCTCTTAAAAAAAAGAGGGAAAAAAAAATCTTCACCAGAATTATATTATTGTTTTACTAGTATGCACAGTTAGATAGGAAATTGCATTCTGGAATACTAGAATAGGTTAGTATATTTTACATCTGTACAAGGTCTGAAATATCTACAGAAGGATTGAAATATCTAGTTCCAAGCCCCTTTTAAATGATACCCTATAAATAACATCACAGTGTGGACTATGGACAAGACACACATATGATAAGTATTTCAGAATGCAGGCACATTGTCTGTCTTTTCAAACTGCGGATTCCAGGGAGGCAGGGTGGGGCGTGTGTGTGAATGTTCTGTACTTTCTCCATGAACCACAAAAAACTTTTTTGTTTGAATAAACAAAATCAGAAGGACTTTCCAGCACAGAAAATTCATTTAGAAACTCATAGAGAAGGAAGAAAAATACCCCTATTTATCACTATGACAATCCTTCTACATTGGGAATAAATGATAATCTCAGTGAACATGTTTAGAATGAGAAGATTACAGAGTTTGTACTAGGTGCAGTAAAGGTTCAACTCAGGAATCAGGAGAGGAGGAGTGGAGGAGGAAATGAAGTTTAAACAGAACTAGAGAATGGATAGAGAAACTGGAAAAGCGAGATTACCACTCTGCAGTGACATCTTCAATTAAATAACCTACTGTAGTCTGAGGTGCAGTTTTTGGTATGGGCAGGAAGATTAACTTAATAAACTACTCATTATTATTCAATTCACAATGCATTCTTTCTTCCTCATGAGCTGATTTGCTTTAAAAGGAAACACTGATCTAAAAAAAAAAAGTCTTGGTTCTTTATTAATTACATTAATCTCAAAGTTACTGTCCAGGATCAGGAGCACTTAACAAAGTGAATTGTTTCAGCTGTGTAGTATTTCAGAAACTTTACCGAGCTAACAACTACACAGTGGTCCACCTGCATACCATTAATTGCAGGGTCAGGGCCTACTCTAAAAGAAAGCTTAGAAAACAAGCAAAACAATCACTCCCACCATCTATTCCTCAGACTCTCAGTAACTAGCTGGTATGATTGAGAATGAATTACTGAATACGGTATTTGTAAAACAGTTCCATCTGTCATCAAATAAAACGTGCATGAATGCTTTTGTGTGTTACTCAAGCAATGGTAGAATGAAGTATGATACAGCCCAAGTATTTTATATGGATTGGTTTTAAAAATTGAAGGGCTTTAAAACTCATCAGCTGAAATGGTGATTCATGGTCACTATATGGATTTAAATAAGGCCACTTCCCCCTCCTGCAATAAAACCTTACTATATGATAATATCTGATAACTCCAAGCAAAAAACATCCTTGTGGGAGTTAAAGGTGGTTGTCATTGGGGGTTCATGCCCCAATAAAATGTTTGCAGAAGTATATGCAAATCAGTTACAGAAACATTTATTATAATGATGCATGTCGACAGAATCACATGGTATACACTATATTTGAAAGAAATACTTAAACAGGCAAGTACTGCTCTCCTTACTATGTCAGTACTGCTGCTGGGTTTAGTGAGAGATACATCCCATTCAAAGAAAAGGTAAACATTTTTCTATTTCTTCTTAGTATTGATAAACCATCAGAAATGCATTTCATACGTCCAACTGAAATGCTATGAGATGGTAATGGCCTTAGGTTATAATTTGCAAGTGACCCATGCATGCTGGGTTTTTCCAGCAGAACATCATTTTCAGATAAGCTCATTTTTCTCTGTAGGGATTCAGCTAGTTCTGCCACTTCATATTTTTGCAAATTGTTTGGCTAAGAGATAACAAATGCATTCACACATAGGAAAAGAAAGAATCCTTTAGCAGTGCTGTTTGTATAGAAATCAGAACAATGTTGTAGAATCTATTATGATTCTTCTAATCTGTTTCCTACTTATATATATAAATATATAGCTACTAATGATAGTAGTCAAGCATTGGAACAGGCTGCCCAGAGAAGTGGTGGAGTCACCATCCCTGGAAGAGTTCAAAAAAATGTGTAGACGTGGCACTTTGTGACATGGTTTAGTGGGCATGGTGGTGTTGGGTTGATGATTGGACTGATGATCTTAGAGATCCTTTCCAATCTTAATGATTCCTAGTTTTTACTTTCATTATAAATGATCCAGCCACCAAGCCAGGAGGCGTGGGGTTGTTACTCTACCCTTAACTGGTTTAGTGTGCACTTGGTAATGTTACATTAATGGTTGGACTGGATGATCTTAAAGGTCTTTTCCAACTTAAACAATTCTATGACTCTATGATTCTATGAAATGTGGTAACACAAGAGGAAACTACAGTTTTGAAATACTGTGCTGGTTTTCAGTCCTGAATGCAATTCTAATGTATTAGTTATTATAAATGGGTAAGTCCTTAAAGTTGTATGAGAGAGGAAAGAAGATTGTATCATTCTTTGGCTTCATCAGAGGCTGTAAATTATTATGTTTCCAGTGACTTCAGCAGATTTTTATCAATGCGTGGCACAAAAAATGAGGTTAAGACAATAGCTTGGGCCATTTGTCACATCAATACTGTTATTCATAGGTCTAGTAATAATTGGCTGATCTAGAAGGTTCATTCTCCCTCTACATACATTTAGTAGTGTATACAAACATGATTTGTCTGAGAGGTATACCATTCTGCTGACAAAGCTCAGTGGTATCCACTTTATTTCTTTGACACATCTACTTGCACATTTTTGTAACAGCAATGTTGCCACTAAGAGAAATTTGTTCTGGAGATGTTTTGCTCCCTGCATATGAAACTTTTTTGGAAATGTCAGAGTTGTTCTGACTTGGTGCTAAGCCTTCTTATTTCTCAATTTTTTACTACTTTTTCCTACAGCTGGACAAAGTTGAGCTGGTGAATAGTATTCCTCTAGTCCCACCTGTAAGTCCTAGATTAGATGAGGTTCGAAATATTTCTCTGAGGATTACTCCAGATATTGCAAATGGAGAAATAGGCTTTACTGGCAATCTTCCAATTATTCTTTCTGAGCCAGAAGATTCTGCTGCTACAGTGGTAAGTAAACCTTTTTATATTGTCCTTTACTATGGAAAATTTATTTGGAGAAAGCAAAGTTTGCTATATTCAGTGTAACATATGAAAGTTAATGTGAGGAAAATCCTTCCTCTAAGGTTGTGCCTGATCCCAAATATTCCCTTGCTTAAAAAAAAGGGGGGGGGGGGGGGCAAAAAAGTGCTCGTAGAATGAAGGTCTGAAATAATGTGTTAGTCATTATCAGAAAAGTGAGGTTGATTTTTGCTTTCTCTGTAAGCATCCAAAACCAGTTAGATCTTGACTCACACAAAACAAAAGATGTTGCAGACATTTTTAATCTCTCTCACCAACTGCAAAGGTAGTAATGTAAAGTAGGACTGATACTGGTCCTAGGTTTCATGGAAATGTCTGTGTACCTTATAGTTGACTGACTTATATGTGAACATATTTTTTGGCTTGCTGGGTGTGTTTTCCAACAATTGTGCTTTTCAGGTTTCTGAGAACCCAAAGAAGCATTTTCAAAAGCATCACCATCCGTACGAGTGCCTTAGTCTCAGCTGGAATTTTTTTTTTTTAATTTTTTTTTCATACATTTTCACTTTTTTCCCTGGCTGTTTTCACTGAAATATTCCCACAAATCCCAAATCAAATAACTCATTCTCAGTTTAATACTGCTAATTACCTTAAGCAGAGTACAGCTTGCACTCTACTATAATAACCAGAGTAATTATCATAGTTATATTTAAAATCTAGGTTGTGTCTTGAAGAGGTGGGCACTGATTAAATCAGTCATACAAGGGTTTTTGTGTTTATGGTTGCTTAGTGATTTGTGGTATAAATCTGTCATGTCCACTGTCTGAGTATGTAACTGATGAATGGTTAAAAGGATAAGATTCAGTACACATTTTCATTGATACACCATCTTTGATTTCATATCATATACATAGGTATGAGTAAAAACAAGAAGCTGAAAGTTTTGAGGCTCATATTCATTTGTAATTTGCAAGGGGGTAATTGTTTTTGCATCTAGTTTCACAAATCACAACAGATTCATGTGTTTCACAGGTTTCCATTGTATTGCATCGAGATGGAACTGATGGTCAAGCAACTGTGTTTTGGAGTTTGAAACCCTCTGGTGTCAACCAAAAGGCAGTAACTCATGATGACATAAGTCCTTTTAATGGCTCTGTTGTTTTCTTATCTGGACAAAGTGATACTACAATCAACATTACTATTAAAGCTGATGATATACCTGAAATGAATGAAACTGTGTTATTAACTTTGGACAGGTATTGTACCTTATTCTCTATGCATATGTATCAGTTGTAATACCCAATTTATATATAACAATTATTAATTAGGAGGTATTGCCTGTATTGTGTTCATAAGTGCCTGAAGGAATATTAGGCCCTTGATTCAGACTGTGTATGGATTCTTCTTTGACTGGAGATCAGTGTAAGAAGCTGTGTTGTATTTACTATCTAATGACTTAATTTTGTTTATATTGTGATGAAAATAATGTACACTATTTAGAAAGTTCTTTCAAGTTTGATCTTTAGTTATAGCTCCTGGTTATAACACATATCTTTTCAGAAAAGTAATATTTACTGAGATAATCAAGAAAACTACAATGAAGAGTAGAAAGCAACACATAAGTCTGTTTCTGTCAGAAAAAGGTTTATAGCTGGGGTGTTGTTGCAGAATTAGATCAGCTTTTTAGTTGTTTGATCTGCACATTCAGTATTGCTTGCTCTTGATAATTACTTGCTTCCATCACAACTCCTGGCTTCCAAAATAGCCTGGTGTGACCATTACCACAGTCTTTCGCTACAAAGAGAGCAATGGTGTTTCTGAAGCACAGTGTTGCAGTCTCCCTTTTGCGTGAGATCAGGATTATAGGGTAATTAAGGCTGTAAGGGACCTCAGGAGATGCTATTTTCTGCATGTGAGCACTACTCAGAATACTTAAATTAGTTCACATCCAGGAGTGTATTCCCTCTTTGATTTACTAAACAAGAGAATCTTGGCTATGTGTTCTGTCCTGCTTTCGACAACTCAATTGTATATCTAGTTTAGAAATACCAGCACTTCTTCTACTACCTTCTATTAGTCTAAGGTACATTTTTCTGCTTTTTCTGGAAACATACTAATAGGGGTCTGCCAGCAGCAGTGTCCACATTGAACACCTACTACTTACACAGTCCCTACCTTATGCAGAAGTGGTTTTGTCCTATATAGGAAATGCAAACTAGCTCTTGGGAGCTTCAACACCAGATACCCATGGTGATTACATACTAGCAAACCAGCAACCAGCTCCTCAAGCTACTGCTGATCCTGTTTCGGAAAGCCTGTTTTTTGAACATCATTCTATCACACAGAAAAGATGTTGTTCCATTGCAGGACTGGCCTGCTTCTGTAACAGCTGTCTAGTGGATGCATCTAGTGCAGAATGACTTATTTCATGCTACCTTGGCTACTCACTATGTTGAAATGACCATCCTGATCAAGACAAAAAACAATGGAGACTATTGCAAGCAGGTCTCTGCTTTCCTGGTTCACCTCAAGGAATTCATTAGAGTCTCTGGCACAAAGCAGGAAACTAAGATTAGAAATGATGATGGAAGTTGTGACAAAGTTGAGTGAGGTGGTCAAAAAGTGGGAGTGGAAGGGTAGGAAACAAATAAGTAGGTAGAGGAAGTGGACAGTGTAAAAGGTTAGCTTTTTAAGTTCTGACAGCTCCGGAGATGTGTGTAACAACAGCTTTCTGCCATTTATTCTGAGTAGAAGCCCTAGGCTATGCCTTGAAAATGATGGCTGCAGTGAGGATTGAACTGGCAGCTGACCAAATGTTCTGGTTTTGCTATGCACAGTGGGAGTAGCAGGTTCTGCTGATCTTGAAGTGGCTGGTAAAAAGTGTGCCAGCAGTAAGCAGCTCTCCTGCACTTGGCAAGGTCGAAGAGTGAAGTAAGGAACAGGTGGTCTCGCCTGGAAAAAGAAATAAACAAGGAAGAGAGAAAATCTGAACTTTCCTCTAGATCTGGACAGTGTTCTTCAAGGCTATGAGTGAAATTTGGCAACTTTAACATTAGCAGAAGCCAAGAATGAAATGACTGCAATCATCATCCTTTCAGTACTGTAGAGGACTCTTCAAATCAGGGTTGAAGGATACTGGCAGGGTTATGTGTGTAAGCTTGTGGTATTGCTTTCTGCATAGTTTGTCTTTTCTGGATGAACAGAAGATTTCAGTTTCCAAGGCTGGCAGCCAGCACCTCACAGCAGCAGTGAATTAGCATGAAAACAAAGATGCACTGTGCTGTGGATGTGCTTGTACTGTTCTATAAATTGTAGCATAAGTCTGTAGGAAAATAGAGCGTGTAAGAACTTTAATGAAACTATAGACATAGAAATACGTTCATAAGCATTCTATTTACTGCAATTAATAATAGCATGGATAAAATAATAAAAATAATTAGTTCTAACAAGGATGTATTATTTACAACTCAGTGGTGTTGTTAAGGCAGTTTACATTTTAAACAAGCTTTAATTGCATCCATAACTATAAAAGAAACTTTCCAAGCCATTAAAAATAGTGTTTTCTTTCCTTGTTCTATGGCTTCTGTCCATGGGCCATAGATATTTAAAATAACTCTGAATTATGTCCACAAATTGGAGGCCAATGTATATCATGACAAATACGCTTCCAAAGAAGACAGATGAATAATAAAGAAGCAAGACAATCCTGTACCTGCTGAAGCTTCTTCATATGTTCTGTTTTTAGGAGCAGCTTCAGGTTGAATGCCTGCCTATATCTGAATAGGCCTGAATTGAGATCAAACATAAATAAAGCCAGATATCTGTAGTGAAATCTGTATGGGAAAGAAAAGGCCTTGGTCATCTTGGTGAATGTAGGTGGAACAGGCCATGGAAATTGTGTGTATGCTTTGTGAAAGCATATATACATACTAGGGCTGTTCATTTTACCTGGTAAGCACAAATAGAAATCAGTTTTTTAAAAATCTGGTTGTTGTTTTTTCCTTCTGCACAATGTATTCTCCTATTGGCAGTAGTCATCCCCTCAGTAAGGTGCAGATACACAGTTACCGATTTGGCAGTTTGCACAAGAGGAGGGCCAGGACCTCCAGAGCACGTGGGTTGTGTTTGCACTCTTAAGTGAGTACCGGTGAGAATGAGAACTTGCAGACTTTGGGATCTGCAAACAGCAATATGCTGAGAAATTGATTTTAATTTGTGAAAGTGATACTCTATGAACAGATGACTATTTAAATAGTTCTTATGCTCAAATTTTTTTTTGAGTCATGACTTATATAATTTAGGATACCAGAACATATTCATATACATATGTTATGACCTAAACCTCATTTACTATATATAATGAAGCAAAACTGAAGCAATGTAAAGTGGGGATTTTTCTAGTTCTAGTGATTTCTGTGATGCAATACAAATTTCCACAGGCTGAAATTCTGTCTTGAGTAAATTTAGAAAACAGATTTTTAAAAAATTGCAAATGCAAAACATAGGTTTGACTATTTCATTATGAAATGTCTTACAGTTTTTTAACATTTCTGTGTTTAAGATATTACTTCATGTCAAAAAGCAAATCATAGAAGGCCCATTTAAAGCACTGCATACTGTATATGGTCCTTAATTCAGGGTGCAGGTGATGCTTGTATGTTGTGGGTTGCTGTATGCACTGGCATGCACAGAAACACTAATATACTGTTTAATGGAGCTGGGATTTTCTCCTAACTTGGTGATTTTCTGTGGCTAGTGTCTGTTTCAAAACCATATCTGTCTGTCTTAAGTACTTTTTCCATTAAGTAATATGTATGATACTATAGGAATTACCTCTTTCAGTGTAAACCATTGGATTTTTCTTCAAGGGTTTGGTCAGACTTCATTTAGATGGGGAAAAAGTTATTTGAAAATAGTAGTAGAATGTTGAAAAGAGTGCTACTGGACACCTACTGCTAGCTTCTATTACTTTTCAAAATAATAACACCATATATCTGCTGCTATGAGTAACAAAAATTAAAATAGCCTCCAAAATCAAATAATTTGTGGATTAAACCTGGAGGAAAGGTGTTTCCTCTGATGGGAAGCGCTGTGGAATTTATAATGTGGCAAATCCAACTTTAATACTGTTCTTTAAAGCTAGGTCCTGCCACTAATTAAATCAGTAGATAATCCTGAAAAAATTGAAAAACGGGTGAACACTGACTACAAAGCAAGGAAGCAAATTGAGTAAAATTCCACAGGCAATCTGAATGCACCTTTTCTGAGATACCCCGATAGAAAAGAACGTTTTTTAGAGAAGAGTGTTTTTAATAGTAGCAGCAATCCACATTCACAGTTGCAATTTAGTTTCTCAGGTGTATTTCAAAACATTCACTTTCTACAGAATTCCAATTCTTGGTCCAAAGCTGTCAAATTCAACCATGCTGCATCTCTTAATAATTATTATTTTATTTGCAGTGGTATTTAGTTCATAATAACATTGAAATTCCCATCTTACTTTAAAGTCAGTCAAAAATCTTCTTTCTGATAATTTGTAGTACTATGTGTTTAAAAAAGTGCAAGAAACATTTTGAAGCTACTGTTATTTGTCCTAATTAATCTGTAGTTCTTGCTAAATAGTAATTAAGGGTTTTTTAAAGAAAGAATTTCCCTAATGACCAGTCGTTTCACATAAGATTTGTCATATGGAAAGTGGTTTTTTTACACACTTACGCAGTTTGAGATTGTGTTTCTTACATTAGCATCATAAACATTACCAGGGCTTATCCTCTGTGATAAAATGAAACTTCACATCCACAGATAGCTGTTTTACAGCTGAGGAGACAGATAGGCAAGTGGCTTTCCCAGTGAGAAGGATCTCCTTACTCCTGGTCAAGAGCTCTCTCTAGTAGCTGGAACTCGTTGGTATGGCTAGGCAACCGTGTACAAGGAGCTGTTTTAACTTTTAGCGTTACTTCTGAATGCCCTCACCTGACCAAACCATGAGTTTTAGAAGTTCTAAATAGCCATTTTTGTTCCACTTCCACGCTGCTGTTACAGGAGTGCCTAAAGAGATGGTTTCACATACCACGAAGAGTGAAACAGGACTAACCTGATCCTGTACAATCCATGGCAGTTTGGACACCTTCAATCTGTGACAAAAGGACTGTACATGAACAGTCCGCTGTTCTTGGAGGTCATCAGGGCATGTAGCAAAAGCTGATGGCTGGTGGCCTGGGGGCTGTGTGGTGGTGTAGAGCCAGGAGTCCAGCCTGATAACATGGCTGGTTGGGCAGTGGCCCATCCCACCACTCCCAGCAAGGCGGGAGAGCAGGCTGGAGCAGGTAACTGGGGGCAACTTGGAGGCCAGGTCATCAGGCAAGGTCATGATGGTGGGGCAGGTCAAGCCAGGGACACATGTCAGGTTTAGGCTGGAGGATGGTCACCAGGGTCAGGCACAGCCCAGCAATTGCGAGGCAGGGCAAAGTGAGGAGATAAATCCAAGGTCGAGCCGGGAAGTCACCTGTTGTGTCCTGGTCCAGGGATGTTATGAGAATTTATATGAGTGTACCTCAGAGCGTAGACACAAGGGATCCTGCTGTGTACACCATTCAGTGCTGAGGTAACAGCAGCTCGGAGTTAGAAGCCTAAGCCTAGGTGCTTCTATTCTATTTTTGCATAGGCTATTTTATGCCATTTTTTAATAGTAAGCAGCATTTACTGTGTCAGAACAGTGATAGCAATCTGGCCAGTTGTGCAGAGAAAACATGGTCCGATCAATCAATCAATCAATCAATAAATAAACAAATTGATCCTAGTGATGAAAATGGAGATGGAGAAACCTCCTGACCAATGGTTTCCTTTAGCAGTGGATGGGCTGGATCTGACTAGTCGCTTTCTGACCTGCAAGTTCTCTAGATTCCAATCTGACTTACACTGTGTTTTAAAGCAATAAAGTATTGCCAGTCTTCTCAGCCCTTTCAAAGAACCCCTGGAGATGCTCAAGATGTCCACCTCATGGTACTTTGTGGCCATTTCACGTCTGCTACCCTCTTCAGATTTCTGTAGTGCTGCCATTGTGCATTACAACACAATATTAGATTCTAGCACTACTCCTCGGTTCATTTGAACAGGCTTTTTTGTCCAAACTGTGTATGGACTCATGCAGTGTAACTCCATGAAGATGAAAGAGATTTTATTTCTGGCATGACCTTTCACTTTCAGATGAATAATTATGTCTTAACTACTTAAACTTGTACATACATATCAAAAACTCACTTGACATAATGGTTCATTTGTATTCTCTGTTGTAAATTATATTACCAATAGCTTAGCTATATAATTAAATTTTAGCATTACCAACTCTGGAATTTCCTCCTTGATCTTTTCATTATATTAGTACTTTGACAGTTTTGGAAGATTTTTGCATATGTTTCTGAAGGAAGGGAGAATGTCTCAATGTGTAGGATTTAAAATCTAGCCTCACTGGAAATCAATGACAAATTTCTGTTAATTCAGATCTCCTATTTGAAAGAATGTATCTGCAAGTGTATTTGCTTTATTTTCTCAGAATTTTGGGTGAACTTTTATCTCTATTGAATTCCAAATCTGAGTTCTTTTTGAGATTAGTGAAGTCAGAATTTCACTTTATAAATTCTGTGGTAATCTGTTTACAGTGTTTTGATAGAAGGTACAGGTTTTATATTTAATTTATATTTATTTTAGATTAAGAAAGCCAAAATGCATGCTTGCCATTGCAGAATAATACTGCCCTTTCATTTGACTTGATGTGGTAGTTTTATTGTAAGTGCTTGTCTGAAATTGAAGCAATTTAGAGATTAGCAAATACTCTTTTCTTATTTTTGTATTTTTGTTTGTTATATTTTTATATTTATTATTTTATTTTGCTACTCTGATTAACTGAAAAATCATCACAAATCAAAAAGTTTGATGTGATTTTGTGTCAAAGTAGTGTTTGATATATGACTATTACAACTCCCACTGCTCTTACCTGTTTGCATCACTACTTTGGCAGACTGATGAAATAACATATCATGGAAGCATGTAGATTTTTTTCTTAATTAAAGGACTGTTTATAAATGTGGGCTGCTGGTGCAGTTGTGAGCAGGCACAGAGGTCGGCAGTAAATGAGCTTTTGGAGGAGGCACTGGTAGGATATGCCATGAATGGGTCTTGACATGCTGAATTGGTCATGGAGTCATTTCTTCTAAGTGGGAACTGCCCACTTGCTAGCATTTGTCAACAGGAAAGTGCCAAGCAAGTAGGGTTCCCATAAAATGAACATTATAAGCTTTTGGAGAGGAAAAAGAAAGCTTTGTGTTGTGGGGTTTTTTTAATTATTATTATCCTTTTCTGAGATCAGTACTATTGAAATTCTAGCAAGTGGCACTTTCATTCCTTCCCCCATCCCCTTTCTTTCTTTCTGTGTTGACAGGGTAGAGACAGAAAGGTTTGTCGTGTACTTTGGGTAAGTGCAGTGAACTGTGGTTTGTCTTCAGTGAATCAGTGCTTTGTTTTACAAGTGGTTGGTTTGGACAGAATCTGTTTTTATCATTTCTTTTCCTCTCAGGAATCACATCTTCTGCATCTCTTCAGACAATGCATGCTTGGCCTTTGGTGTTTAATCTGATGGCATGAGGTTCTGGCATGATGGCGTTTCTTTATTTAGGATCCGTGAATCATGAAAGTTATGAATGCATGGCTTAGTGTTTGATATTTGAGCATTTGATGCAATAATGGATTAGTTGTTTTAAACTGCCACAAACGCAATTTGCTCCAACTAAATGACTGAACTGACTAGAATTATAGAGAAGAAGTTTTCTGTGGTCAAAGATGAGCTGTTATCTTGTTTTTAAATAACCTACATTTAGTTTATGTTAACACAAGTGATTGTGTCTGCTGACATATTTTTTTTAATGTGCAATACACATGATGTTACCCTATTAAATAGATATTTCCTGTTTTGCATCTTGTATTCTGCCTGTGGACTTTGCTACAAGATACATTGCTCTTTTTTTTTTTTGGGGGGGGGCAGGGGGTCATTCCAGTTATTTGTGGAGTGTTTGTAGAAACAGTTCTGGAACTGATTTCAAATATTGGATATAGTAGATCACATTTCTTTCTACATGAAATAGGTTTGGTGAATTCTGTGTTCTAGTACAGTGAAACCATAAAAGTATTTACAATATGTTGGACCAAGATTTCATTGAAACTTTCTTTCAGGAAACAGAAGATGTACAGGAATCTAAATACATAAAACACCATGTAATAAGCCATATCCAAACTGTCAGTCTGAAGGTGCATTCTTGATGCATCCTTCAGTAGCATGTTTTCTTGTATTTTTAATGTAATGAACTTAAAACAATGTCGTTGAAAGTTACCACATCTGAGGAAATGAATACAAGAAATGTGCAAGGTTTCCTTCTTTTGTCAGATATGGCCCAATCGTGTCCATGAGTAAGACCAAGATGCTGTAGAGGTAGCCCAGGGAGAGAAATCCTCCACCAAGAGGAGCACTATTTGATCATGCCTGCACCGTTCACCGTATTTTAGGCAGCAGGTTTGTCGGTAAGGGAGGAGAAAGTGAGTGAGTCTCAGCTACTGGGAGTAGGTCCAATACTTACTAGAGCCAAAATGGGATCCTACAGGTAGTGTCCACATCTTACACAAGCCAGGTTAACACACAGGTGAGGATGAAATGCGCAATACTGAGGTGCAAGTCTCTTCCTATTTGCAGCTATAATACATTTTGCAGAAGAGGGTAAAACTATGTAGCTGTCAATGTAATTTCTATTTGTTTAAATGATTTTGGATTATCCTGTGTGTTTTGATATAAATACAAAGTAATACTGAATCTAAGTCTAACTCTTTACTGTACAATTCTGTTTCTTTTCCTGTGTGTTGTGTGCATATGTGCCTAAAAATACCCAGAATCACCAACTATAAAAAATAATCAGAAAACAAAGTTGCTTCAGAAGGAAAGGTTTTTTTACAAATGGATAAAACATACTGATGTGTCTTTCTTAATTTATTTCATTCTTTGCAGGTAATTGTTTGTTTTCATAATTTATTCATAAAATTCATTAGTACTCTGATTTCCTTTGCATAGGTGTAGATTAAGTTGCCAAACAGAATTGTCACTCAAAACCCCCTCTTGCCTTCCTTTCTCAGGGTCAGTGTGGAAAATCAAATACTGAAATATGGGTTTACCACTTGTGAAATTATTATTCTGGAAAATGATGATCCTGGAGGAGTGTTTGAATTTTCTCCCTCTTCCAGAGGTCCCTACAGTATCAAGGTAGCTATCTGAGTCATTTCTCTTAATCATTATGGACAGCTTAGTTAAAGCAAAATGCTGGAAAAAAGCTGAATTTTCTTTTTTACAGGAAGGGGAGTCTGTTGAACTGCAGATTGTCCGCAGTAGAGGAAGTCTTGTCAGGCAGTTTCTACGCTACACTGTAGAACCAAGAGACAATCATGAGTTTTATGGAAGCACAGGGATTCTGGAGTTTAAGCCTGGTGAAAGAGAGATCATAATTACTCTTCTGACAAGGATGGATGGGATTCCAGAGGTAAAAATTAATATTTTTCTCCCTTCAAATTGCATTCACTGGCGTATTAGTTTGTCACTTATTAAAATATAGGTAAATATATAGGAGCAGAACAAGTGTGTAATGGCTTTTCTCCACAATGTCTTCTCAACCTCCAAACCAGGGAAGTCTGGATAAATAGAAGGTGTCTTTGTGTTTAATAGTCCTCAGTGGAGGACTTAAATTGAATTCAGTTCAATTCCTGTGAATTGAAACAGTTATGCTTTGAATCCATGTAAGTTTTTAGCATTCATGACATTCTGTAGTATCAAGTGTCATTGTTTAATTGAACTCTGTGTGAAGACCCACTTCCTTTTTGTTTTTTTTTTTTTTTTCTAGTAATTGTCTGCTAGCTTCACTCTGTGCTCCCCAGTCTAGACTAATATTGGCCTTATAGATGCAATACTTGTTTTAATGTTCCTTGAAGCATTACCTGTTAGCTTTTTTTCAAGAAATATATGAAGTACAAAGTCCTGTTAGATTAGTAAAGCAAGCTGATAATGTTCTTTCTAAATTAGTGTGCTGTTAATGGTTTTAAAATCTTTGCTTTCCCTGTTACAAAGCCAGAAACATTAATAAATCTTATAGAAAAGAAAACTTACCTTTCAGGCAGCATTACAAATGGATTACATTACATTACATTACAAATTACTAGTGGATTGATGTGATTCTAAGTTAAGTACACAAAATAAGTCCTTGCCTATAATAATGCTAGATTTTTGGACAAAACAGTCCTATCAGAGATAGAAATTTGGGATTATTTCTTTGTTCTGATAGCAATATCCAAACACATTGTGCATGTAGAAAGTGTGTGTGATTTCCTTTTGTTTAAATTTATATCTCTCTGCCTGTCTAGGGACTGTCGATGTTTGCCCGTTTGTTTTGGATGTGAATACTGAATATGTAGTTTTATTCTGACTGAGTTTCTCTCTTTTAGCTGGATGAGATATATTCTGTGGTACTCAGTGGCTACAGTGAAATGCCAGGCAAGTTGGGGAATGCCACAATGGTCAATATAACCATTTTGAAGAATGATGATCCACATGGTGTCATTCAGTTTCTACCTGATGAACTATCAGTAACAATAAAGGAAAGTAAAGGAGAAATCATCTACGCTGGTAATTCTTTTTTATTAGAGTTATGGCTTTATCTGCTGTCTGCCCCTGAAAGGCTTCTTTTCCTCATTTCGCCTTTCTAGGACAATGTCTGACTCAAGTCTCCACTCAGGAGTTTCCAGAGTGGTACAGTGCCAGGAAGATGAGCAGTGCAGACTGAAGTGGAGAAGGATGGGCCTGGAAAGCCAGAGGGATCAATCCAGTAAAAAAATGGCTAGAGAATATGCCAGGCAGGAGGGACGGAGTATTGATGTATGTGCAAAGTGCAACCTGGAGGTAGTAGCTCTGTTTGTGGAGCATGAAGAATAGGGTGCTATGTGAGAGAAGAATAGAGCTAAATCTTGATATGGGTGACTTCAATTTATCTATCTCTATTCAATTATCAAGTACATTTACAGGCAAAAAATAACAAATTTGAGCAAGTCTGAACTGCTTTAATGGTCTATCTTTTTGTATCCTTTTGTGTAGTGCTCTCACATATTATTTGTTTTGCAAGAAGTGGATTTGCTTATTATTTCCTTTCCTTTTTCTTTGTTTCAGTTTTGCTGACCTTTTTGATTTGTGTTGTTCTGAAGATGCACACTGACTGTATATGTTTGCATTTTTTAGCTGCTTACAGAGTTGTAAGAAACCAAGGAAACTATGGCAACGTTAGTGTGTCTTGGATTGTTGACCCAGCATGTACCAATGACATCTATCCAGAACAAGGGACTATTTTCTTTGATAATCTGGAGTTTTCAAAAAATATCACCATTTACTCACTGCCAGATGAGGTAAACATTTTTACAGTGTTTTTGTGTGAGTATATGGGACAAAGAGTAAGTGCTAAAACATTACAATTTAAGGAGAAAGAAGGAATGTCTGTTTTTGAAGAGCCTGGTAAATATTTGTAGGAAAAGCTCAAAATACTTGGGTAAAACTGAGATGACTTCAGCAAATCATAACAGAATTTGAGAAGCTTTGCATGCCTATAAACAAAAAAAGTTAGAAGCTGAGAGTGGTTGAATGTGGTTAAATTATAGAAAACTTCATTTGAGTAGGACCCTTGTTTTGATAGCAGAAAACCTATTTTTTATTTTTAATGCTGATATATTTGAAGTAATACAAGAAAGAATGAGAATAATTCATAATAAATAAATAAAGCTGTAAAAATTAATTGCATGTATCAGAAGCGGGAAACTGCAAGGTAACTTTTGGGTCATCTGTACAACAGTAAAGATGAGGGGACTTCTTTACAAGGATTTTAGACTGATGATTTCTGCCTAACTGTATGAACTGTGATTTGTCATCCCTCTTGACACACTTAAGGATGAATAAATAAAAAACAACACTCAGAAATCTCTGGTTTGTTAACCCCCTCAGCTGTTCATTTTAATTCCTTCATTGTTTTGTAAGCAAGAAATTAATTTCGTAATACTTTCTCTTTCAGGTACCTGAAGAGATGGAAGTATTCATGATCAGCTTGTTCAATGCTACTGGTGGAGCCAGGCTGAGCAATATAACCAGTGCAATTTTACAGATTACAAGGAATGATGATCCCATTTATTTTGCAGGTTAGATATTATTGTTTTTAAATGTAGAATACATATACTACCCCAAACAGATCTGACTGACAGAGCAGCTCATTTAGAAATCCTAATCCCAATGGAGCTAGTATAAAATCTTCATGTTTTCGTTCTGTTGAATTTGTATTTGTCTCCTTCAGACCGTTGCCTTATTTTATTTCACTATTCTCTTTGTTGGTGCTGGGATTGGTTAGGTAGCTAACTACAACAATATTCTCTTGTATTCACAAGTATTTCCATGCCTTTACCATATATGCCTTCTGTGTCACTGAGGAGAAGGATCCTCTTGGGGAGGATTAAGAAAATAGGCCACATGCAAGGAGCTCAGGCTTGAACTCAGGTAGATTTGTTGCTTGTGTATTTTCAGAACCTCTGACAGTGAGTGTTAAAGAAGGAAGTGTTGCAAACTTTACAGTCCTAAGGAATGGATCTGCTGATGTTGCTGTTGCTGTCCAGTATATTACTGTTAATGGAGATGCAACAGCTGAAGAGGGAGACTTTGTTCCCAGTGGAAAGAGCAGTGTCATTTGGTTCGATGTTGGAGAAAGAAAGCAGAATTTACGTGTGTATATTAATGATGATGATACCCCTGAAACTGATGAAACATTTTATATCTTCCTTTTGAATTCTACAGGTAAAAGTAATGATTTGATGTACGTTTAGTAACTCTCCTTTTTTTTTCTGCAATTTTTTACCAGCCTGGTCTTATCATAAACCAATACGTAAATGCCAAGTATTATATGAATAAGCTTTGCTTCAACATTTCTATACAATTACTATACACAGTGTGTTTGGATTTTCATCTTGAATTGCTTAATTGGAAATAAAAATCAAATGATACAGCTGAAACCTTTCCTGCAAAAACAACTGGAGTGAAAATCTCTTTTCAAATGTAAATGCTCCAAATTAGATGGGGTTTTGACTTGACTACAGAAACACAAGGCTAAAGAATGTTAGTACTGCAACAGTCTTTGGAAAGAGGGATTCTTTTAGATTTTTTGTCATGCTCCAGTGTATACTACACAACTGCCTGATTTTTGTAAAAACAAACAGAATTGCCTTATTTTAGAGGAAAGCCATGTAAATTGGTCTCTGTTTTATTTTTGTAGTAGTGCAATGTATGCATACATTTTTTTCAGTCTGACATTATAATTTTACAAGGCTTAATCTACAGAAAAATGTTTGTTAGAAATTACCCAGTGTACCACCAGTAAAGAATGGGTTTATTATCTTAGAAATAACATTGTCTTTTCTTTTTTAAAAAAATCCAAAACTTATAATTTAGCAGGAAATCATACAAAACAATTCAGCACATTCCTATTTTGGAAATAGATGTCTTCAAGAATAAGCCATCACTGCTGTGTAGTATTGATAAGAAAATGTAAGTTAAATGTAAGAAATAGGTAAATTTTCCTGAGCTCTACCTGCTTAATAAAGATCCTCTCCACCCCAGCCCTGCCAAAACTCAAGGTGTAGTGGGAGAGTCATCTACAATTGTGTTAGGAAATTTTAATGATTTACTGTCCTTCAGGTGTTATTGTTCTGTAGCTGAGAGGTAATAACAGGTTGTGAATGCACTACATATCTTTGCAATGCAAACCAAAATGGAATTGCAGAATCCATCAAAATGAGGACTGAGACTTGAGGGGCTGTAATTTAATAAAACAAAGGAAAACTATTACAATTTACCATCAGACTATACCTTCACATTAGATTGTGTGATAGGTTCACAAAGTAAAATACCTACTGGGGATTCAATTCAAGATGAGGAAATAGAAAATTAGGTTTCTTCACTTAGACATGCATACTAGGTGTCTTAGCCCTCATTACAGTCTATAATGATCTGATTCACAGTCAGTGAGACTAAGAGAGCGATTCAGGTTGCACAAAAGTGGACACCCTGTGGCTGGTTTATGAATTGCTCACAAGATTTCATTGATCTCAAACTGCATCTGCCCTATGCATTGGCTGCAGGCAGCCAGAGAATTTTAGGGGAATTTTTAGCAATTATTTGAGTATAAGGTAGTTTATGTGTTTCCTGAGGTCAGCTGGCATTCACTCTGGTACCCAGGTCTCCTACAGAACATCAACCTTACAGAAAGGATTGGACAAATCCATTCTCCTCTCATCTTAAATTTTCTCTTCGGTGATATATATATCTCATCATGCAGCCTCTCTAGAATCACTAAGAATACAGAATATTTCTGTACACATTCCTGAAAAGAAAAAAAATTTATTTTCTTTCTATGATCCGTTACATTTATTGACCTCGATTGTTACATCCCTTTTGAAAGTTATGTTGCACTGTTGTATCTCAGAGAAAATACAAATAGAGGTATATGAAGTTAAAGCAGTAAACACATTGTTTACTTTGGAACAAAAGCTAGTCTAACACTCTTAAATAGAGTGAAAAATGGGATGGAGGTGGAAACATAAGGTACATCTGTGGACATAGGAAGGGTGTTAGAATGTCCCTAAAGTGCTAATATACATACAGAAATCGTACTATCTTCCACTCTCCTTCACAGGTATCTCATATTTTTCCCTTTCAGATATGCTGTGATATGGGTATGACTAAACTCTTAGACATTGTTCTTAGCTTGTAGTTACTTTAAGTGCAGTATTTCTATTCTAGGTCTAAACGAGAGCTGCGATCTCTGAATACATACATATCTTTTTCTTCGGAGTTGACCAATTGATCAAACATATGATCCTTTCTGCTCAGAATCACATCTCTGGTCATGTCACATACATTTTTTCCTGCAAATCTTATGTCTTGCTCTCTGCATGAGATGCTACTTAAGTGTTTTTACTCTGATTTGCCTGTTACTGAGTATCTCGAATAGTGGTTTTCACTGATTGTTTTACCATTGTTCATTTCTTTGTTTGCATAAAAGCAGTTGGTGTGAGAAGGAAACACCTTAAGTTTTAGAGTTACCTCAATTTTGGTTCCAGTTTTGATAATATTAATCACCCTCTTTTTAGGTGATACTGTTATCTTTAAGGCTGGAGTGGCTACAGTTATTATTGAAGCAAATGATGATCCTAATGGAATGTTCTCCTTGGAACCTGTAGAGAAGCCAGTGGAAGAAGGCAAAACTAACAATTTTTTGTAAGTAACTTTTAAATAATACTTTTTCAGTTTTTTGGGATGATGTATGTAGTACTTTATGGATAGTACTCTGACCCATACAAGTTTGCACTGATAAAACGTATTAAAGGAAATAGCTTTACTGAATTTTGGATTAAATGATTTGTAAATATATTGAAGATATCTACTGTTACATTGTCAAGTACACTGTGCGTATTAAAATGTATACAGAAATTCATGTTAAAATGTAAATAAATAAGACTACAGCACTGTTGTTTTCTTATATTCTCAGTAGACTTTAGATACAGAAGAATCTTGATAATTGAGCAGAATATATCCTGGACTAATAGAGAAGTAAAAAACCTTCTCAAAACACAGCTAAATAAATAAAAACAACCTATATTACTATATTCTTTCCGATCGCTTGTTTTTCTTCTATCTGTTAATTAGAGATGGAGGTCTGTACTTAAAGTCCAGATGTGACTCTCTTCTAGATTGAAAATACTCTTCCCTAGTCTGACCTCTGAAAGTATTTTCCTTCCAGCCACTGGTATTCAAGAATGAGAAGAGTTAAGAAATGAATTTGCTTGGCATCTTACCTTGTTATGTTCCATGAAGTCAGGATGGGATTATAATTTGACAAAAATATGTGTTTTTCATTAAGAAACGTCTATACAGGATATAGAGAGAAGTTAGGTCACAATAAATGTGATGGTGTGAACAGTTAGAGAAGAGGCTCTTCTCACATTTGTTTAGTTATCTTTTATATCTTTTTGTTGTTGTTGTTTGGTTTTAGGCCTTGAAGCACATGCCTATGACTGTGATTGAGGTGTTTATGCTTGTGTTACACATATAAAGAATGAAAATCCTTGAGAAAAGAGGATATTAAATACATTGTGTGTTTGGTTTTGTTATGCTGCTCTTTGGGGTTTTTTTTTTGTCCTTTATAATCTTACTTGCAGAATGAATCTTTTTGATTTGATAGTGGGAAGAATGATTGTAGAATGTAGAAGTATGTAGAAGATTTGAACTGAACATGTTTATATACAGGTGCTTTATGGAAGCACATAATACCAAGATCACCAGCATTTGAGGACCGTGCTCAGTCCTCATTGATGAAATATATTTACTAGGGAGCTGTCTCCTCCATACCCTCACTGCTTTAGCTATTGTGTAGTATGTAACAAAAGGGTCAGAGTAGCATATAACCTAACCACTGCGAACAGCTATGGCAGCACTGAGCTTTGAAGGGCGTAATCTGGGTTGCTGCAACAGTGCTACACAGCTGGGATAGAGAGCCTTGGTTAATGGCAAAAAAAGAAAAACCCTTGGAAGCAGAAACAACATAATGCTGTTGCTGTGCCCAGACTAGTTTTGCTGAACTAATTTTTCAGCCTGATATAATCTCTTTGTACAGCATTTTATTCTACCCTGCAAACAGAAGCACACTTTTTGTATGTAAAGCACACTTTGTTAATAAAAGCGCTGTATGCTTCAGTTTTTATTTATAATGCCTTTTTGAAAATGGTGAAATTATGTTACCAGATAGCTATATAAAAAATAAAACCTTGTTTTTATTTACTCCATTCTTAATCTGGAATAACCACAGATTTCTGAAGGACATAGAACATAACCCAAATTTAATACCAATGTAAGCAAGAGTTTAAGGAAACTTTATGGTTAAAGGGAGAAATGTTTGTGGTTAAATGTAGATGATTCTCTTTGCTGTCTAATTGCTGTCTAATATGGCCAGGTATATCAATTTTTAATGTTAACTTGCTGAGCTATTATACATTTGTATTTATTATTTACCTAATAGAGGTGCAAGACAAACTGATGTTTAACTTGACAGTACTACTTTGCATGGACCTGCATTGGTTAGTTTTTTGCTAAGGTATCTGTGATATACCTGGAAGTAGAATTATACTGTGAAATTGTGGGCCTTCAAAGAGGACTGTGTTATTGTTCATGGTTGTATTTATTGTTCATGGTTATTTAGAATGTTGTATATTATTTTTCACAGTAAGGAAGGTTACTGTAATCATGTTTTCCCTTGCTAATGAATGCTGATGCATACCTGCCAGGGCATTCACGCTGTCTGTATCACTGAACAGGGTTTTGAGACATAGAGGACACTTTGGCAATGTCTCATTGACCTGGCAGCTCTTTGATAATGACTCTGCGCTGAGGCCAGGAGAAGAGTTCTATGAAACTTACGGGACTGTGTGCTTCATAGATGGTGAAGGATCAAAGCCAGTAACACTGCATGCTATTTCGGATACAATTCCTGAATTCAATGAGTTTTACATTCTAAAGTTGGTGAATGCTTCAGGTATTGTCTTCCATATCACCCTTTCCTTCATATCTGGTAGAAAAGAATTTTGTTTAATCAATCAAAAAGAAACCAACCCTGGAAAGAGCTTTGCCTTGAATCATGTCTTGATATCCTGTACTTTTCTGGTAAGGTTTTAGGTTTTATTTTTCATTTAATCTTAATTAGGTATATGAATGCAGTTATTCAGTTCCTGAATTACTCTTATACACATTTTGGTGATCTGACCCTTAAAAAGGATGCCTCCTGGTGATTTCAGAGTTACGGATCTTCATGTAGTTGAAGACAAAATAAAGCTATTACAAGCTATGCATGTCTACATAGTGGACGTTGGTTGGTTTATTTGCTTTTTTCTAGAGGAGGTAAAACACTTGTAGTTACCACTTCATATGACTTAAATTACAACTGCTACAGGTCTGGTACTGAGCAAAGTTCTAAATCTCCTGGACTTGTTCCATGCCAGTGCTGTTTATGGTCTTCTGTGCCCAGATACAGCTGAAAATATGTGTTGGCCTTTCCTGTAAGTGAAATCCATATGCATGTACAGAAAATTTCCTACTTAAAATAGGCAGATCACTGCACACTTTGAATGTGGAGACTCTACATTCACATCATGCTCTTCATATCATGAATTGTTACTGTGCAGAAATAGATGACTCATGGCAGGACTTGGCAGCAGTTTTAATACACAACTGGTTACTGATTTTGCAAGGTATCTCTGCTTCTGTTTCAGAGGCAATGGGCCAAATTTTGCCATTCCATATTTGTGTAAATCCTGGAGTAATATGAGAACTGAATTTGGCCCCATGTTTATCAAATGAATCAAAGTTAACCTATCTCATTGAATAATTCAGAAAAAATGGAGTTAATCTTGTTTTAGCTGAAAGACAAGTGTATGTTTTGCAGTTGAAAAATAACATACTGCTTTGTTTTCTATGAAAATTGTGTCTTGATAGTGTTTTTAAAACAATACAGTTAAACTATGTTATTTTTAAATTAGAGCATTTTTTAAGACTTCAGGGGCTCTTTAAAGATTTAACCCTTTTTAGAAACCTATTTTATTAAAAAAACTTTAAGTACTTAGCAACTCTTTTGGACTGTGTTGTTTGAAACCAGCCATTAACTTTTACTCTATCTTCATTATATAGGTGGGTCTCCTGGTCCTGGTGGTCAGTTATCTGAAACAAGCCTTGCTGTAACCGTGATGATCCCATTCAATGATGACCCTTTTGGAGTCTTTGTTATAGATCCAGAGAGCCAGGACAGAGAGATAGTGGAAGATGTTATTTCTGAAGACGATCTTTCCTATATTACAGACTTCACCATCTGGAGACAACAAGGCACCTTTGGTGCTGTCCGGTTAGGTTGGGAAATACTGTCTAGTACATTCCAAGCTGGACTACCATCAATGGTAGATTTCTTGTTGATGGGAGTATTTCCAAGTTCAGTACAGTCCCAGCCTCACATGAGGCGCCATCACACTGGAACAGATGCTTTGTATTTCAGTGGAAAAGAGGATGCGTTTGGGATTATTGGTCAGGAATACCTGTACAATGGAAACACTGCAGTAACCAATTTTACATTTTCAGCGTGGTTAATTCCTAACGTCAGCACTGATGGTTATATAGTTGAAAAGGATGATGATAATGGGACCTTATATTACGGCATGAAAATCCAAACAAATGATTCTCATGTTGCTGTAGTGCTTCATTATACAGCATTAGGATCCAATATAACATATATGGCTAAAGCAACAGTCCTGAAATATCTGGATGAAAATACTTGGCTTCACATTCTGATTACTCTGGATGAAAGTATAATTGAATTTTACATGGATGGAATGCCAGTTCTGGGAGGAATGAAGAGCCTTAAAGGAGAAGCAATTGCTGATGGTGAGCCAATAGCCTGCATTATTCTTCTTTGTAGGTAAAGTTCTGCAATGCATAGAAGAGTCTAGTTCCTTGACAACTGTATGCAAGATACTGAAACTGTTATATCTGATTAGTTAATTGAAAAGAATGGATAGAAACTTCTGAGGATTTTCAAAAAGCATACAGAAAGTAGAGCTGGGAAAGTTCCAGAAAATTCAGAACTGCAACAGAGCTTGGACTGCAATAATTTGAAAATAAATTAATATTTTATAATTATATTTATACATGTATGCTTATCATGTATACATACAGTTATATATGTTTGCAATTAATCATTTCCATAAGATTTACAGCACTGTAGCTGAGAAAGGACTTTTTTCCTCTCAGTGTCTGAAACAAAATGCAATAATGATTTTGTTTCTAGTTGTGTATTATATTAAAGCTAAGCCAATAGCTTGTAAGCAATAGAATTTTTCAGGGTGTAGGTTTACTTAGGAATGTATTTACATGGTATATGAAAATTATGCCCATCAGTTTAATAGTGTTCCAAGGATCATTAGCATGTGTACTTCAGTTTATCTGACTGAATAGTCCCAAATGTTATTTTAGTCATAGGTAACCATTGTGGACATTTGCTCTGAACTAGTACAGCAGTGACCAGAGAAGTATCAGAACAATTCCTTTACAAAATCATATATTATGTGGTTGGAATACAGTTATATTTACTCTTTCTGTTGCAGTTTCCCACTCTTTCACATGCATTTTTTTGCTTGGAGATCATCTCCATCCTTTTTCCTTCCTTCCTCCTGCCTTCAGTTTCACATATTTTCTTTGGTGGGGGTAGGCAGTGAATGATTATCAAATTCTTGAATACAATCTCCTTTTCTTAATGAAAGAAGGAGAATTAAAAAACATACAGTGATGTTAAATGCATATACATCTATATGCACATATGTACACAGACATAGAGGGAGAATAGAGAGGAGACTTCATTAATTGTACAGTGTAGTATATTATTTCTGCCTGTAAATTTCCAGTGGTTGAAGTCTGAGAAATAAATTTGCCCTCTGTAACAAAGTAGTGGCCTCTGCGATTAATAATTTCCATCAGACTTGTAGTACTGTAGCTGAAAAAAGATTTTTTTTTCCCGTCAGTTTCTAAAAGAAAGATATGTGAAATGCAATAATGCTTTTGTTGCTAGAAGGATATGTCTGAGTCTTTGTAAATTTTCTGTATTAGTGGAGATGGCATATGCTCTGTCTGGAGATACCTACAAATATAAGGTAAGGATTTAATCTCTCTCCATTTAATGTCAGATACTACACAGTGGTGAGCCTAGTAGCCCAGATTTTTCTCACCATCCTCTGCCTTGTGCCCTGGGACCATTATCAGTTGCTGTGGCTGCTCTCCTCTAGAACTGACACTCATTGTCATATGTATGCCAGTACATTGAACAGCACAGTTTCTTCCAAAACCAGAAAACAGATGGAAAGAAGAGATATCTATGTGTTTTAGCAAAATAGGAATGAGTATGAGCTACCAGCTTAGTATATTAGTGAAAAAGGCAGCTGTGATCCTATGATTTGCTGAGTAGGATAATTGTTTGGAGACAGAGCAATATTAGTGCTGGTGTAAAAAGAATTTGGAATTTGGTGTGCATTTCTGAAGTCCATATTCCCAGTGCATCAGGGGACAAGCATGTCCAGAAGTGCCAATGCAGTGATGATGAGTATCATCAGAATGGATCCACTATCCTACCAGAGAGGGACGAAATGGTGTCTGTTTAGCAAAACAAAAGCTGAGAGGGGTTGCAGTTGTGCTCTGCAAATCTCTAATGGAAAGTGTGATGTTTCCAAGCCTCATTAAAATAAGGGATGGTGACAAAGTTCTGGTAGAACTAGTAAGATGAAAAACCTGAACAGTCTAGGATGGAATTGTTTGACCTCTGATGATCTACCTGTAACACTGAGATGAGGCTTGAGGAAGCTCCTGATTTTGCATTTCAAGCTCAATATGATTTCTAATCCAGGGATAGTAAACACTTTACCACTGATTTTTAACAATTACAGCTATTCAGCTGAAGATTTACTACTTTGAAGAAATACAGTAACATGAGGAAAATTATAATTTCCTTCTCAGGTCCAGGAATAGTGAGAATTGGAGCAGGAATCAATGGCAGCAGTAGGTACACAGGGCTAATGCAGGATGTAAGGCTTTATGAGCGTAAATTGACACGAGCTGAGATCTATGAACTCCATGCAACTCCTGCGAAGACTGATGTCCACCCTGTCTCCGGGTATTTGGAGTATCGGCAAGGAGAGACCAATAAAACATTCATTGTGTCTGCAAAGGATGACAAAGAGGAAGAAGGGGAGGAGTTATTCATCCTAAAGCTCATTTCTGTGTGTGGTGGAGCTCGAATTTCACAAGAAAATACCACAGCAAGATTAAGAATACAGAAAAGTGATAATGCTAATGGTTTATTTGGCTTCACTGGAGCATGTATTCCTGAGGTAAGATGTTCATAAGGAAAATTATAGATGGAGTTTTGGACACAGAAAAATTAATGGCAAGAACAATTGACCTGCACAAGGCCTTGATTTCACATTATTAGTTTTTGTAGTTAAGCAAAGTTTTTCTAGAATTTGGAAATGTGTAAGTTCTGTTAATACAGACTCAGTCTCACTGGCATTTGCAATATAATTTTTAAAAATCCCCCAAAATTGTTTTTGTTAAGAAAATTGATTTTATTACATAAACTGAAGACTAAGGCTTAAATTTTTCTAGAATAGTTTTTTCCTTTACTTCTGTCACATCTGAGACAGGGTTATCAGTTAAAAGATAAGATTTAATTTTCTTGTTTGGAGAATGGATTATTACAAAGATTTTTTTTTTTCCTATGTGACATGATGTGTTTGAAAGAATTTTACTAAAGCTCATGCAATGACAAAGTGTGATGTATTTTTCCACAATCATTTGCTATCATAAGGTATAAGGTATAAATTGCACATTTGGTGTGAATTCAGTTGACATTAGCTGTGCATTGGGGTTTTTTTAAACATTAAATTGTTCTTTGGTGGTAGGCACCACATATGCAATATATAAATTTGCTACTTGTTTGGGGAGGATTGAAATAAACACAATTCATTTTTACTTCTTTAATCAATTATGAAGGAGAAAGACATGATACCTCTTTCTATTGATACTGGATTATTTTGGAAAACAAATTTCAGAATACTTTCCAATTTGGGAACTCTCATGACCTTTTAATGACATTTTTTCTAACCGAAGTGCACTCTTGCCTGAGTGATCCTGGTTTTGAATTCGGTTCAGTTTGCTTTCTATGTGCCTACTGTATGCTATGATAATAGATGCCTTCAGTTTCAAATGCCGCTGATAATACTGTGATGCCACAGATCATCAACCAACCATGAAGCAAAATTAAAAATTTATATGGCATATTAATTGCTTTGCACTTATCTTACAGCCATTTCACCAGGGAAGTATCAGAGCTCTCACTGATGATGCAGATACACAGCATTGTTTTACCAGCAATTTAGTTGCTTCGTGTGCATATATGTCTACTAGGCAGCTGAAGGCACATGCAGTATCTGCACTGTGTTATACAGCAGCTCTGAAATTTATCTAATGCTTAAGATAGCTTTAGCCTTTCTAGCAATTTTCAAACAAAATTATTTTCTATTTTAGTTCTATGATCACAATTTTCTAAAACATACGGTCAGTATCAATACCTACTTTGTTCCAAATATGTGAAATTGTTGCTGCTGAAGTCATGTTCTCTGTGAAGACAGAATTGTAAAGAGGACTGTAGCATAGAAAATTTTTCAAAGTTTTTCATGAATGATGATAGTATAGTTTAATTTTAAGTTTAATTTTATAGTTTAATTTTAAATGAAAATGTTTCTTTAAAGTATTGCTAATGAAAATTAAAATAATTGACATTAATATAAAGCAATAGTTTCAGTTGCTTTTGACATGTATATTTCAAGCATATTGATTCTGTCTTTGGCATGTAGTTTAGGGGAAGAGATTGTGTTCAAAACAAAAAACAACGTATAGTTACTGGCTTACCTGTATAGTCCTCAGGGAGACACTAGAAGCTGTTGCAAATTCCACTAAGATCGTTCTGACCACCATCAAGTTCAGTTTCACCTTCCTACCACTCCAAAAGGGCTCAGTAACATGACAACATTTTTTTACCTGAACATTTGACTAGCGTTAGAGAATTCCATGTTTTGTATTTACTGCCTTGATTTACTTTGACAATAACAAACATTTCAATTTCTTGCTTTCTTCCAGACTGCCAATGAGGGTTCCACTATATCCTGTGTTGTGGAGCGTACACGGGGAGCCCTAGACTATGTGTATATAAATTACATTATCTCACAGGTTGATTCCACTGGCATTAATTACTCTGTCACCGATTTTTCTAACAGCACTGGCACTATCACATTCCTTCCTTGGCAGAGATCAGAGGTAAACCCTACCTTCCTATTAACTATTCATCCTGTCCTTTGCAAACCTGCTGGAAAATACCTTCTGAGGGTGCTTGACTGGTTTTCATACTAGAGAGTGTTTCCTTCACGTGGCTTTTGTTATATTTTGCAGGGGGTTTTCCATCCCTGACAATTAGCAAGTGATATGATAGATGCTTATAGGTCTGTGCGTATCTTGGTTCAGGGGTCACCACATGTGCATGTATGTTTGAGTGCACGTAATATACTACATATGTTTACATATACATGCATCTATATAAATTATGAACTAGATTTATGTATATGTATACTTGAAGTGTAGATAATCTTGGGCTAAAATAATGGATCCAGCTACTTCTGAAATTGGAAAATGGTCAGGTTTTGATCTGAGTTTTGTAACTCAGATTTATTTCCGCATCAATGAAATACACAGTAGTAAAGTTCACTGCTGTAATAGTCTTGCAACCACTCTTGGCCACATTCTGTCTCTTTTGCTTAACCTGTTTCTATGGATTCAATCCTGACCTGCAGCACAGGAATTTCACATTTGTTTGAAGAAGAGGTGTGGGACCACAATACTGTGTAAAGCTCATGTGTGTTTTCTGTTAGTGTTCATAAAATAGAAAGGGTGAATTGTTAGTAGAAAATACCATCCTCGGTTTCACTTTTATCACTGTGCTGAAGTCAGTATGGACTGACTGAAACTCACTGACACCATTTGAAAGGATCCCAGTAGCTCCACTAGAACTGTGGATCTGGTCCCAGTTAAACAATGTAAGTGATTAGAGCTTGGCAAAAGCTTGTGATATCTGAAAATAGTTTGTTCGTGTGCCCGTTCATTCAGCTTTAATTCTCCATTGAATCATATTACTGCATTGCATACAGTCATGTAAAGCAAAAATTTCCAAAGCTTTTCCAGTCTGGCAGCATGGATGAGGCCTGCCTTATTCTATCTAGTGGTAGCAAAGGGCTGGTATACCCTCTTGCTCCACTGCTATGTGGTCCAATTTATTGTCTACATACGGAGAAGTTAATAGGCATGGCTCTATGAAACAGATTGGGAGCTGTTGCTCGTCAGGTGAGGTATCCTAAGAGACTTTCCATTGATGTTTCTAAGCTACTCATTCCCATGCCTCTAAATATGATCAGCTACTTAAACCTTTTCTTCTATATGTTTGTCTAATCGTATCACAAAATATAGAAAGCTGGAATTGTCTGAGGTGAATATGTTAGCCTGTGCAGAGCAGGTTATGTTGATTAATATTATGATCTGCAATCTCAAGTGTCAGGTTGCATAAAGAGCTTGCTTTACTTGCTCTCTAAATTGATCACTGTAATTTCTCTTCAGAAGCACAATTTCTTCAAGATTTTGAAATCTATCAAGATATTTCACTTTCAGTATACACAATTTAAACTACGCTTATTTTAAGATACGATAATAAATAATTGCTTGCTTGGTTATGTGTTTATGCAATTTGAAGCACTTAAGAAAATATGCCTTCCATTTCTGATAGCTTGGTAACTTTCTTTTTGGAATACATATTCTAAACATAAAATATTATCCTAGAAGCTAGGTTAAATTACGTGGAAGACAAAAATATTGTCCACATTACTTTCAGAACTACACAGCAGATACAGCTGACTGACTAATCAAAGACTTTGATGAGTTAGGCAGGGTTGTGAAACTTGTAAATGATGTGCATTGCACAGTTTGATTTCTCCATGATTTGGTCCTTCTCTAGGTCTTAAATTTGCATGTTATTGATGATGACATTCCGGAGCTAAATGAGTATTTCCGTGTGACATTAGTCTCTGCAGTATCTGGAGATGGAAAACTAGGTTCAACTGCTACCAGTGGAGCAAGTATAGATCCAGAAAAGGAAACTACTGATATCAGCATCAAAGCCAGTGACCACCCATATGGTAACGATGATGGAGATGATAGAGTCTTGTTGCAGATAATTGTATAGTTCTAGCTCAACAGATAAAAACTTTGCTTAGCCTTGATAGTTGAGGAAGCAATGCCAAGTGTTCCACTTTGTCTAACTTGAGATTAGTTCATAATTTGTGGACATGAGTGAAAGCTGAGTTATTATTCTTGAGAATTTTACCAAAAGGCATCAAAGCTTCCCTGACCAAACAGGTGATGATTTCTTTCTGAGAGCAAATGAAGGCTGCATGCAGCTGATCCTGCACCAGTTTTTCTCAGATGAGAATTCCTGATGAAGAGAGACATTTCTGCATGCTTATTCTGCCAATAAGTACCCAATACTATGACATATTGAGGGTCTTTTGGGAAGACCTGAATTCATTATTGTGCTGTGGCTTTTTCAAGACTGATATGGATATCAGTGAGAGAAGGGAAGGTACACAGCACATCCCTGGAAATAGTGTGATTGAGGCCTAAGTGCATATTATTAATTGATTTTTAATTTCAGAAATGTCACAAAATATAAATATTATAAATAATTTTGTTTCAATTGATTATCATTATTTAAATTTCATGAGAGAAGCCACATAAATAGTACCTCCTGTCTGCCAGGTCTACTACAGTTCTCTGTGGGGCCATCTCCTCAGCCAGGTGATGAAATGATTCTGCCAGCCTCTGCTGTGCCCCATATTACAATTAAAGAAGAAGTTGGACGCATTGGATTACTGGTAGTTCGTGCACAAGGCCTTCTTGGAACAGTTCTGGTGGAATACAGAACAGTACCACTTACAGCTTTCAGTCCTAAAGATTATCAGGTATGTCCATTGCCAAGCTGTGTAATTATTTTGGAATTTAATTCAAGTTATTTGTCCTGGAGAGAGCCTTCAGTTGGAGTATTTTAGTCCAGCTATGATTCTTTTCACAGAAACACTTTGTTTTATATGGTGATGTAATAAATGAATAAATAAAATTCACTTTAAAATATATATCATCATGTGACTTTAACCTCCTGTGTGTGCAGGATGTTTAATTCCTAGGAAAAGCCTAGGAAAAGTTGTTGGTTTTTTTCTTAAGAGAATTGTCAATGTAGCAAGAAGGCATCTTTGCTATTGTTTCTGAATATATCAAACATTATATGAACATTCAGCTGCATGTATATGTTAAGATTATGTTTGTACATACTGAGATTTGTACCTATTCAGCTGTCGTGGTTTAACTCCAGTGGGCAACTAAACACCACACAGCCGCTCACTCACTCTCCTCCACCAGTGGGATGGGGGACAGAATTGGAAAAAAAAAGTAAAACCTGTGGGTTGAGATAAAGGCAGTTTAACAGGACAGCAGAGGAAGAGAAAGTAGTAGTAATAATAATAATACTGATAAAAGAATATACAAAGCAAGTGATGCACAATGCAATTGCTCACCATCTGCTGACCGATGCCCAGCCCAGCGATCGCTGCCCCCCGGCCAACCCCCCCCCAGTTTCTATACTGAGCATGACACCATATGGTATGGAATAGCCCTTTGGGCAGTTTGGATCAACTATCCTGGCTGCGCCCCCTCCCAGTTTCTTGTGCACCTGGCAGAGCATGGGAAGCTGAAAAGTCCTTGACTAGCATAAGCAGTACTCAGCAACAACTAAAACATCACGGTGTTACCAGCATTCTTCTCATCCTAAATCCAAAACACAGCACTGTGCCTGCTACTAGGAAGAAAATTAACGCTATCCCAGCTGAAACCAGGACATCAACAAAATAATCTGTGTGCATCTGTGTTTGCTTCTGTAACTGATACTTGGGCAGAAAAATGTAGATGAATGCAGATGCTCGTAATGCTGTGAATTTAGGTGTCTTTTTCTCATTATAAAGATTCAGGAGATTTTTTAAAAGCTTAAATGAAGAAAAGTAGATGTTTTGACAAAGGCAAAATCAAGGTTCTATTTATTTTTTCATATGAATGAAAACATTAGACGAGCAAAAATGTGAAGAGCTTTCATATTGCAGGCTGTTGTGGGCATGCTGGAATTTCAGCCAGGAGAAAGATACACATACATTACTGTTAACATCACTGATAATTCTATTCCTGAATTAGAAAAAACTTTTAAAGTGGAGCTGTTGAACCCGGAGGGAGGAGGTAAGACACAAACGTCAATCCATTGGTTGCATTTTTGTGATCTCTACTCATCCATTAAAATCTTACCTTTCTTAGGTCTATTGTTTCCATGTTATTTCTAAAGACAAACAAACACCCTCACATCCCCCAGACAGCTGTAATTTTTCTTAACTGTTCTTTGGCTACTTTGTTAATCATTCTTGGAAACCACCAGATCCCAAAGAAAGTGTATTATTACCATGTATTAGGTCATTTAAAGGCAATCGCTGCTTTTCACATTATATAATTTCATGGCTGGTAGTGAGAATGAAAACAATGTAAAAAATATATAAATTCCAATTTTTTTTAATTTGTCAATATTTATAAAATATTTAAGGCTAAACAGCCGAAGTGGGTTTTTTATCTGCCACTTGAATGAAATCAGAGGAATTGTGATACCCTGGCTCATAACATATTTGACTGGATTATAGCAGTAGAGACTGTGGGTATTGAGAGGTCTAGGGAATTTAGCTGAGCTGGAGAGGTAGCTGGTAGCTCTGTGGAAGAACAAGGAAAACACTCAAAGGAAATCTTGCTGTGAGATGCTAGTCTAGTGACAGGCATCAGCGCCCCTGCCACATAAAACCACTCATTCCTTACAGAATTTTTTTCCATTGGAGAAAATTTTTAAGGGGGCCTGTAAAGCTGGTTGGAGGGGAAAAAGTAATTAGAAACGTTGGCATTCATCAATTGACTTTTATTAAGCAATCCAGAAATACAAGTGTGGTGCTTTCTGGGAAGTGATACTACCTGGAATGAATCCAGATCTCTACTGTGATTATATCTGTCTATATGGTGCAGTGTGGCCCAAGTGATACTTTTGATAAAAACTTCAGACCTTTCAGGCATGTGGACTTTTTGGCCGAATAGTTGTTTTGGTAAAAGGAACCAAACTTTTCTCTTTTTTTTTTTTTTTTTGCAGTAAACTTACATCTACTTTTACTAGGCAGATACCCTGTTAACACAAACCCTCTTTTTGGCCTTTCCAACACCACTGTAAGCACAAAACTTAGCGTAAAGTCTCCATTAGTTGAGTTTTCTGCAGATTTTTCCAACTTTCTGACACATGTTTTAGCCTTGTAAGAAAATACTAGAATAAGAGAGTTTGGGGGAGGGGGTTTAGCCCCTGTTTGTTTTTTTTTTTTAATTCACATTTCCAATTTCTCCATGACAGACCTCATTTAGGAATGAGAAAGGGGAAATGCAAAGAGTGGACACAAAGAGGGAAAGAAAGAAAAGAGAAAACAGAGATGTATGTGTTTTCTTTCCTTCTGAACTCCCATTGCTGTTTCCAATGTCATAAATTAAAGAAGAGGTGGCATATACAATACTTTTCCTGGCTTTTATCAGAAATCCTGTATACTTTCATATGCAAAATTGATGCCTTCCTAGAATACTTCCGTCTCTTTTTGTGTTGTCCAGAAATGTTTAAATTACTTCTACTTTCTCTTTATTTATAAATGTATATATGTGTGTATATCTGTATGTCTGTCATCTTAAAGTTGCTGAGCTCTTTAGAAATGATGGCAGTGGTAGTGGTGATGGGAACATGGATTTCTTCCTTCCAACTGTCCATCAACACGGTAAGCATTTTTGACTAAACCTATTTTTTATTGCTAACTGTAATATGCCTCATAAATTACTATACTGACACAACTTGTCATAGTGTTACTTTAATTGCAGTTACAGGTGATCAATTTAGATTTATCATAAAGTTCTGTGAAAACATTCTTTTCCATTTTAATTTAGGCATAATTGCAATAGCAGTCAGTATTTAGTGTAACACAGAAAATAACAGCTTGTATACCATCAAAATCATATTGTTGTAAAACACAATATAGTAATTCCAGAAGTACAGTGTGCAAAATTAGTTTTGTTTGAAAATTGTCAAACTTTATGGAGAGCAAAAAGGAAACACACTTTTTAAATGTAAGGTAATTTAAAAATTACCTGACTGTATGATTTTATACATGCTTAATGTTACTTTGATTTTCTGCATGTCAAAAATATTTTTAAAGTAAGCTGTGTTAGATTTTTTAAAGGAATGTTTTGATTGTTTTTTTATTTCTTCTCTTTAAGTTTCTATTTATGTCATGACATACAGAAAACAAAGATAATTTAATACTGAGAAAACTGAGTAGAAAATGCTAGATGCAGAAATAACATAAAATAGAGGGAAAACCCTAATGGTATAGGACTTCAAATTAAACCCTACAGACCTGAAAATGTTATATGAGCACCCGTTATCCAAACTGAATAATTTGTTCCTCTGTGACAGCCTGATTTTCAATTTTATTTGTAAATGCCAGGGATTTCTGTTTGAATTGGAGAGTAAGTCTGTGATTTAGCCACTTTTTGGAGCTTTCTGAGTTTTTTGGAAGTGCTATTTCCTTTTTCCTTGTTTCAAGAAATGGTTTTCTTAAATGCCAGGCTCTTTCTGTCTCTGAACACCAAGTTATCTCACCCAAGACAATATTTTTAGTAGTAGGATTTACCAGACTTGTTTTTTTTCTTTGTTTTTCATTCCAGCTGATGTTAGGATGAGACCTTCATTCATTTGGTCTATCTGCTTACACTGTGGTTTACCATATAACTCCCCACTGTACTAAATTCTGCTCCATTTTAATTTGTTAAACGTGTAATTTTATTTCTGTTCCTCCCTTAAAATATTCATATTTATTATATTTTTTTGTTGCATAGTTCCATGGAAGGGCTGCCAGGATGGCATTACTGAAAGTCAGTTCCTTATCCATGTGGGTACTTACCATGCATTTAAAAAAAACAAAGACGAAACAGCACGGCTACTCCAGTCATGTTCTCCTGTGTATTTTTTGTAACATGTTCTTTAGCTGTTTTCTTTCATGTAAGAAAAGATGCTACAAAAAATAACTGGTTTTGGAACTTGCACTTAACAGCTAGCTTGGGAATTGCATCCCACATCCTTGTAACTATTGAGGCTTCTGATGACGCTCATGGTGTGTTTGAGTTCAGTACTGAGTCACTCTTGGTAAATGGAACTGAGCCTGAAGATGGAGATAGCAATATTGTACTGCAGGTTAGAAAGCTTTACGTCTCGTATTGCTGTACAGTCCTCTTCTGTCTCTCTGTTTACTGGGTGTTCTGCAATGTTTTTGCCCTAAATCTATAGGGTTTATAACAACTTTATCATGCACATCTGTTTTGCCATTCCATACTGAGTTTTCTAATGTATATCATTCAGCTTGAAGCTAAAATGGTATCCATAGGTTTAAAATTATTTCTACTTGTTTACATTTGAGGTACTACTGTCTTGAAATAATGGTGCTGATGATACAACAAATACAGCAAATCTGAGATAACAAAGATTACACTGGTTTTCTTAAAACACAAATTTATTTTTAACCCATTGTATCAATGTCTTTGCTTAATTCCATCTCATACTTTTATGTTTTTCTTTCTTGTAGAACAGAAATATGCAGATCTTTATATTTTTCACTTAGGTTGTGAGAACGCATGGGGCCTTGTCTCAGGTGACACTGCATTGGATTGTAGCCTGTGATCTTAGCAAAGACCTGATCTCCACAGATGGGAATGTAACATTTGATGCTGGCCAAGTGAGAGCAAATATTACAGTACAGGTTTCTCCTGATGAAGTTCCTGAATTGGATAAAGTGTTTTCAGTTTTGATCGTCAATGTCTCCAGTGGTCGTCTTGGAAATCATACTAATGCAACATTAACTATTTTAGCTAATGATGATCCATATGGAGTCTTCATCTTTTCTGAGCAAAACAGACCAATGAGAGTTGAGGAAGAAACAAAAAATGTCTCCCTGACAATAATAAGGCACGGTGGTCTCCTCGGTACAGTAATGGTAACATACAGAACTATTGACACTGATGAAAAGTCACCTTTTCTTCCACCTGATGTTGTTAGAGCCATAGAGGGAAAAGATTATATACCCATTACAGGTTACATGATCTTTGCAGCCAGTGAAAGTGAGGCCACAATATCTTTGCCTATTTTGGATGATGATGATCCTGAGAGGTCAGAATCTGTTTTTGTGGAGCTAAGCAGTGTTGTTTTGATTGAGAAAGTACAGGATCGGCCAAGTAAGTATCTTACATATGTAAAACCTACAATTTAAATATGAAGGCTAGTATTTATATTTAATAGGATAAAATGCACCAAGTTAAATGATAAGCTTTTTACCTCTGCCAAACTCTGTATAGTTAAGAAATCTCTGAGTTACCTCCTTGTGTGCTGTTAGCATATATTTCCTTTAGCGCAGTATTTTGTCAGGGATGGATGAGCATTTCTTTATCCTTTTTGCATCCTTTTGGTGTTTCAGGCCAAATATGTTACAGTATTGGATTTGTGCACTAATACCTGTTCATCTAGTGTTGGTTCTGTAAAGTTCAGTATTAGGAAATAGCTAAGCTAATTTTGCTTATTGAAAGCCAAAAAAGTCTTTTAAAAATAAAGTGGGGTAGAATTACAGCTGAATGTTGCTTTTTCAATGTAGACAATGTTTGCTTCATGCCTCATTCAGGTAAATTCAGGTCATTAGAACCTGATTTGTGCTTCAAAGATTCTTGTCATGTCTAACAGCTGCCCCCACCCCAGATTGATGTTGATGTTAAGGGAAACGTCAAATATAATTCTGCTGGGAGTTTGAAATGTCATTTATATTTCATCATAGCAAGTGTAAAAATGAAATTCTTCTGAACTTTATTGATCCTACTACTGGCCTTATGGGCAAATAAATAAATAAACAAATTATTTCACAGTACCTCACCTCTTCAAAAACATTATGGATTGTATGCTCCACAGCAGGGTAGAATAGTAATTTTTTTTTAAAAATTGGGATTTTTCAGCCATAATATAATTCAAACACCAAAAGTATGTTGGTGCATTTTGTAGTTATACTTTGTCCAATTCTAAAAAAGATAATTTTTTTGAAAGCTAGTGGCGACTAACCACTAAACTCAAATGTATGTCTATAAACTTTATAGCCACAGAGAGCAGGCATCTCAGACACCCCCTCACTAAGTTTTGTTTACGTTTCAGTTGTAAATTCTCCTCAACTTGGATTAGTGGATGAGAGAATAGCTCATGTAATTATCAATGCCAATGACGATGCCTTTGGAACACTTCAGCTTTCAGCTTCAACTGTGCGAGTTGCTGAAAATTATGTTGGACCAATCATTAATGTGACCAGAACTGGGGGAGTATTTGCAGATGTTTCTGTGAAATTTAAAGCTATGCCAATAACTGCAACAGCTGGTAAGAAATCAGAATAGCAGAAGTATGCAGTCTATGTTAAAGTGGAAAGAGCATACTGTACGCTTTGACCAGTCAAAGCAAACAAGTGTTTATTGAATGCACTATTGTCTAACAAGTACAAAAAAAAAAGTAGTGAGACATTTACTGACTCTGCTTAGCAAATAGGAGTCTAAGCCCTATTGGAGAGGTCATGCATCAGCTTTTAGAAAGCTCTGAGACATCATCACTGAAGAATCTAGCAAGAGAAATGAGTGAAGGAATTGGGGTATTTGTTTCCCTAGTAGCCTACCACCCCTTCAAAAAAAGAAAATAAATAAAAATAAAAAGTACTATAATAGTATATGTAGCTACTCTTTAGTCCTGTGTACATATTGAAACCTTCCATGCATTGTTTAGGTGAACTTGTTGGAGAGGAGGTGAGAGCTGGGGACTCAGCTGTAAAACAAACAGGCAAAAACCAATCAAAACCCAAGAAGGCTTGAACTTCTAAAAATGGGAGGTTAAGTTCTTCAGTTGGTCATTGCTGTAGAGAAGGTACATAAAGAAAGGAGCAAACTTATGAAGTGTGCAGGGTCAAAAACAATTAGACAGTTATAAATCAAACTCACTGTATTTCAACTGTGTCCAGAATTGAATAGATGGGTGGTACATGCTCTGAGAACCTGTATTTTAGCTTCCTTTTTACGTAACAGACTTTTCTAAATATGTGTGTAGCTAGATTGATGTCAGAGTATGCTTTCAATTAGTTTCTGAAGCAGAGCCATTATCTAGTGTATCACAGTTGTTCATCTAGACATTTTTAGCATGAGTTTGCCTAAAGTGAGATCCGCACACAAAATGTGCCTGTTGCTAAAATGCTTTGACAAAGGTGCTTCTGTTCACTTTTATCTCTTGGAATGCCAGACAGCAATTAGAAATTAAAGACAGAAATGTCTTGGTAGTGTGACCTTGTCAATGGAAGATGATAAGGGACCTTTTGTAACTACCTCCTGGTCTAACAGTGAAAACTCTGGTTTGGCCAAGCCAAGTTTTATTTTAATACATCCAGATATCTAAAGGCAACGGGAAATAAAAAAGACTGTGTTGTCTGGATCTGAAGATAAAGAGCCATAGAATCATGGAGGAATGCATGTGTAAGCAAAAAGACAAGATAAGTATTACTGGTGATGTTCAATACACTGAACCGTAATGCATTAATGTTCTTTGTTTTTTATTGTTTTGGGGTTTTTTTTAATCTACAAATCTAGGTGAGGACTACAGTGTAGCCTCATCAGATGTTGTCTTACTAGAAGGAGAAACAAGTAAAGCTGTGCCAATTTATATAATTAATGATATCAGTCCTGAAGTTGAAGAGTCATTTTATGTTCAGCTGCTGAATCAAACAACAGGAGGAGCCTTGCTTGGATCTTTGACTAGCGCAATTATAACTATCGAGGCTTCTGATGACCCATTTGGATCCTTTGGTAAATGAGTCTTATTTGCATATTTTCTCTTTTCTGTTAACATTTTTACTGCAGATTTGTGGGTGAGCTGTTACTGGGCAACTGAATAAAAACCTTCAGAAGACAAAGAAGAAGCCTGGATGAAGACAGTAAAGGAAAAGATAAAATAAACTAATTTAGAACATGTAATTAAGGAGTAATGCTGCTTTAATACAACAAAAAAAGCATTATTTAGTCAGCTGATATAGCGAGATTTTTGACTCTCCCAATAGAGATGGATTTTAGTTTACTTTTTTTTTTATCTATTCTAAGTGCTGCATTTCTGCAATAGGTTTAAGCCAAAATCTGCATTCTAATATCTGTTCCTTAAATACTTCTATATCTTTGTTTTACTAGATAATCAGCCAAAGCAGATTTAAAAATCTGGGGAAATTGAAAAATATAAAGAGAAATTAAATAACATTCTTTTATTTTCTGTCAAGTATGTTAGTTTTTCTTCTACCTGTTATTATCAATAAAATGAATTGTGTGTACTTTCCAAAATCAGTTTCATTACACAAGTTTTGAGAAGGGTTTTGGTGACTTAAAAAATGTAATGATATTTTAGAAATCTATCTTTTTTGTTTGTTGTTTGGTTTTTTGGTGTATTTTTTCCTGCTTTTTCCTTTGACTTACCCTTTTTTCCCTTCAGTAGCCCACTTAATTCCTCTTGTCCCATCTTGTCAGTAGAAGAAGGTAGAGGAAAGTAAGAAAAAAATATCAAAAAGAAATAATTCTGGATAGGTAATTAATTAGTTCTTAAAAACTAAAAGTTTAATACAAGGAAGACTTTTACTTGAAATGATTTTAAATGGAATATGTTGACTTATTTCTTCAGTAAGTGACATAAAAGATGTTACAGAGTTTCCTTGCTGGGAATAATTATGAAATTGTCTTGTAAGAGCTTATAAACTGGTCATGGTTAGCCTTGAACAATGGGTATGTTGGAATAAACTTTTTGGATGAGGGCTTAATTTTCATGCTAATTTCCTCTGTAGATGAAAATATTAACACTGAAAGTTTGCTTTTAAGTTTAAACCTGATTAAAAGTGATTTACCTGTGCCAGTAAATGCAATCAAGTGAAATAATACTATGTACTTCAGGAGGTGATTTATTTACTTTTGGTTTCATTGTTCATGAAATACATCTGTCTGTGCTGTATTTCAGTTTTTCAGATTACCGAATTCACTATGGAGGAGCCTGAGTTTGGATCAGTAACCATAAATCTGCCAATAATCCGCAATGCTGGGACACTTGGTAATGTTACTGTTCAGTGGATTGCTACCATTAATGGACATCCTGCTGATGCTGACTTGCAGGTCGCCTTGGGTAATATTACTTTTGCCCCTGGGGAAGCCATTCAGATGTTGCTGTTGGAAATCCTGGCTGATGATGTTCCAGAAATAGAAGAAGTAAGTAAAGCAGTTACATCTTTCTTGAATAGTATTAGAGTTTTAACTTATTATACAAAAGTGTGCAAAGGAAAACAAGGAATGTTCTGGCAGGAAGGTGCAAGAAGTTCAGATTTTACTTTGCTTGTGATTATTGTTAGAAATAGCAAAAATTGTTTAGCTGCATTATTTATTTTTCTTTTTTTTTCTTTTTGAGATTGTCCATGTAGAATTAACTCAGGCCTCCAATGGTGGTGCTATTGGGTTAGATGGCGTGGCAAATATTATAATACCTGCCAATGATAATCCTTATGGCACAGTTTTCTTTCATCAATCCTTATACCAAATTCAGGAGCCACTAGAAAGAAAGTTGCTTGCAAATGTAACAGTCAGGCGAAGGTTGGTATAATGTTTGCTTTATTTATATCCATTACTTTTTCTTTATATTTGTCTTGGCTATAATTTCTCTTGTAAAATATTTTCACCAATTTCTTGATCTGCCAACTCAATGCATTTGTATTTCATGTACATTGGTTTTGAACTAGATGTGTGCTTATTAAAAAATGTACATAAAGTACTTAAAGGTAATATGCATTCTAATGTACAATGTAAACCTAATGTACATGGTGTACTTGAAGTTTCATTTTGCCTATTTTATCATCAAATCATTAAAAGCTGCACAACAGCCTGCTCCTGTAATTTGAACTGGAGGACAAAATGGGTCAACCCTTGTGGGATGGAAAGAAACAAGGAAAGGAAAACAGGTTTTATGCATGTGATATGACATCCTGAGGACAGCTAGGAGGAAAGATGACAAGGTTGGCCAGCACAGCCTTTTTCTTCCTTGCCAACCCTAAGAAGGCTAAGTTAATTCCTAGAAACAAACGTTTGCAAACATGCATTCTTAACAGACTGCTACCCAATCTATAAATAATTAAACTTGCTGTCCACAACAAATGAAAACTCAGTTATTCTGGTACTAGCTTCAAGGGAACCCACTCTACTTAGCTATTTGGAACTTTTCAGCAATTCAGAAAGGGCCAGTTGATTTTATTTGCTTTTATTCTGAACCTAGAAACATACAGAATGTTAGGCATACTTCATCAACTGACATTACTTTTTTATTTTAATGTCTTTTAGCGGGGGAAGGTTTGGTCAGCTGCAGATATTTTACAGCACTTCTGAGACTGACATCATAGCTCTTGCCATTGAGCAAGGTCAGGATATCCTGGCCTGTTACGAGTCTCCTGTACAAGGAATTCCTGACCAACTATCCAGGACCAGAGTGAACATGTCAGCAGCAAGTGACCCACTGTATGCCTGTGCAACTCAGTGCCTAAAGGAACAAGCATGTTCAGCCTTTACATTTTCCAGTGCCTCTGAGATTCCTCTCTGCCTTTGGCTGACATCAGACATCAGCCCATTAACTAACACTTCAGGATTCTGGACCTACAAGAAAAACATCACCAGTGCATCTGCTCTCTTTAGCACACAAGCCATAGGTGGTAGTGATTATGAATCTATTACAAGACAGTGGGCCATAATGCAGGAAGGGCAAGAGTTTGCAAATCTCACAGTTACCATACTCCCTGACAGTCTGCCAGAGTTGGATGAGAAATTCACTATATCCCTTTTGAAAGTTGAAGTTATGAACATCTCAGCCAGCTTAAAAAATCAACCAACTATAGGACAGCCAAACACTTCCACAGTTATCATAATGATGAATGGAGATGCATTTGGAGTATTTAAGATCTACAGCGTAAGTCCCAATGCGACAGAGAAAGGTCTGTATGTTGAAGTAGAAGAACGTACTCAGAACGTGCAGCTAATGATACATAGGACAGAAGGCAGCCTGGGACAGGTGACAGTGGAATGGCATGTGGTTGGTGGAACTGCTACCCCAAACTTGGATTTTGTAGGTGTTGGTGAGATTCTGGTGTTCGCTGAAGGTGAGGCAAGGTTTTGCACTCGCTTCTGTTTTATAGAACTAAAGAAAAGCAAAAAGAATCTGACAAGCACTCAGTCCTCTGGATGTTTTGATGTGATGTCTTATTCTTAGGCTAAACCTCCCTGAATGCTCAATCTGCAAAAGAATATAGTTCATTAGCACATAGCATTATGCTGCAGAACACACACAGTGGCAGTAAAAAAAAAAAAATATGAAAAGCATAAATATCTAAGTATTTTTTTAAGATATTGCAGTGTGCATTATAAAGATTACCTTTTTATCACATAAATAAGGAATAATAATGCTGAAGATACTTGTTATATCAAGCATAATTAAAATGAGAATCAGGCCTAAATGGTCTTTTGTTAACCTTCAGTTAATACAGTACTAATTTTTCATGACGTCTCTTTTTGTATTCTGAGAGCATATTGATTTCATAACATAACAGCATGTTAAAAAAAAATTGCAAACAGGACAAACAAGTCAATGGCAGACATTACTTAAGTACCACACAGCATGACAGATATATTTTATATTTTCAAAGTCAGAGTTGACTGAAAAGTTATTTTGAAAGCAATTTGTGGAAGTACAGTAAAAAGTCTAGTGTGCTAGCTAGCTTGCTAAATCATCTGAACTCAAAGGAATGGTTGCCAGCAGTGATTCTGAAGCTGATATGTACTTACATTAGTGGTTATAAGTTTAGCAAAAACTGTTTTCAAAGTATTTTGAAACACAGTGTAACAAGAAATATGTGTATCTTGTAAACTGGTATTCTTATAATCATAAAACACAGGTTATGCACAGTCACTGAGCAACAGGATTGTGTCGTAAATTATAATGGATTATAGAGACTGGTAGTTGATTGTGTTTGCTGTTTACACTATCATTCTTTGATAGTCCAGAAGACAAGTAACTAACACAATGACAGCCTGTTTTAATACGTTCCCTGGCCCAGTAAATATATTCAAATTGAATGTACATAGTTGTGTATATGGTTTATCAGAGAACTTACGCACTTGGTAATTGTTTGCAAGAATGATATTCCCCTTTTCTAAGTTAAATTTGAAAGTCAGAGAACTTACAATGCAAATAAAGAATTCGAGACATTCAGAAATTATGCCTACATTGCTAATTTCTATGTAATATATTTAATAATTTGATAATTACATTGCCCTAATGTAACTTTTCAATAATAATTGAATGAAACTTCATAATGACACTCAGTAACTTCTAGACAGGTACATAAATAAATATGCTTCATGCCCTTTTTTATATCTTTTAAGTATTTCCTACGAAGGGAGATGATTAAGTCTTTTTAAAAGGTGATTTCCATGTGCATATGTATATGTTGTTCTCCTTGCAGGGGAAACAAAAAAGATGGTCATGCTAACCATTTTAGATGATTCAGAGCCAGAGGACAATGAAAGTATCATTATCAGCCTGGTCCATACTGAAGGAGGAAGTCGGATTCTGCCCCGTTTTGACACTGTCACAGTGATTATTCTGGCAAGTGACAACGTGGCAGGAATTATTAGCTTCCAGACAGCCTCAAGATCTGTTATTGGTCGTGAAGGTGGGTTCTTTGTGTTGACCACACTCAGTTTGTCTAACATTAGCTTCCATCTCTGTGCTTTCTGTTGATAATGACTCACAGTAATTGTTTATATCACTGTTCAGAGAATACCAGCAAGCAGAGAATAACCACATACTTGGCATGTATTTCATTGAGTTTTTAACTCTTGCAAGTATAGCACTTAAAGAAATCTGTGGAAAGGAAGAGTACACCATGTCCAAAACCATTTTATATACCATCATCTATGCTTTCCTTTTTTCTGAAGATCATGCCTTGTTTCTATGGGTGTTGCATTTCAAAGCCCCTTTTAGCATATCTTGTCTTATTCATTTATATCATATTCCAGAACTGTATATAACTCCCATCATACACACCTATTAATAGTCATGAGCAAGTCACGTCTGTCAGTGACTAAAAATCACTTTAAATCTTCTCAAAAATATTCCCACAGAAAGATTAAGGTCACATCTTCCTTCTTCCTGACTCAATAACCTGCTGTTTTAAAACTTTCTGTTTATGTTTTTTTATGGTAGCTAATTTGGGAATGTGGTAATCTTGCTGTCATCACTCAGTCATGACATTTGAGAAAGAAAAATAATAATTTGATATGGAACAGAGATTTCTACTAGTACTTTAAAAGAGCAAGTTGCATGTTTGATCTAAGGTTTGATGCAGTTTTGCACAGGTTAATAATGGTACTGATGGTCAATTGCTTTTGGCAGCCTTTGGTGGAATCTCAGTGTATTGCAGTATCATATCTCTCTGACCTGTAAACTGATGGGAAGGGAAAGTTAACAAACAGAAATTTGCTGTACAGGAACGTGTGCATTGCATTTTCTGTATGAAGAAAAAAGTCTTTCTCAACCTTCCAGACATGAAAGACATCATAACCTTTTGTTTTTTATCTAGATGCAGTTTGTGTTAATTCTGTGCTAGTATGTGCCCAGTTTTTGTCTTTGATTTCTCCACATTAACAGTTCTGATCCACCTGCCAAGCCAGCTGCAATCTGGCAAGCTAAAAAGAGCTGTTAATGAGCACAAGGAGTTAATACAAACTGTCTCATTCCCAAAGGTTATGATGACCCTGAATACTTTCCACTAGTTAAATATTATTCATAGCATGCTAGAAAATGCTGGCCATTTGGAGCTGAAATACTCTGCTATAGTTCGGAAATTACTGGATTCTAATTCCTCAGTTTGTGAAAAATAGTGCATTGTCTTGCAGCAAGAAAAAACAACCAAACTAAGTCCCTTTGATAAAAAAAGGAATGATCTAAGGCCTTTAGATGATTTCAGTGTTTGTATCTCATTTTCCGTATCAAGTTTTTTGGTTCTGAAAACAAAATTTACCAGACATAAATTCAAATATTATTATCTTTTATATTTATTGGATTATCAAACAATTTCTGTCAAGCAAATCTCTATTATTTTCAAGCTGTGCATATTATTTACCACCTTACTGAGGGCAAGGGTAGCATTTTAGTACAGGCAGAGGCATGCAACAGTGGTGTGGCTATGACTGTATTAGAGGAAAATGCACTGCAGTAGCTTGAAATGATGAAGAGAAGGATGGCTGAGGCCCCCTTCTTCTCCCTCATAAATGAAATCTAAAGATATGGATAACATGGTTACATATTAAAAAACTTAAAATAGTGAAATTAGCTTAATAAGACTTTCAATCTTCAGAAATCAATTAGTATTTGTATTAGTGTTTCTTTCTGGATAGGGATACCAAAGATTTTGGTAAAGCTGACCAAGAAACATGGGCCAGTAATTAACTACTTGGGGTCTGTAATTATGATGAATTATACTTCAGGTTTCTTCTTAGTGTTTGGATTACAGTGTAACAGGCTTCTGCATCATAAAGTGTTTTGTCCCAGTCTTCAGTGAAAATCCATTGTATTACATAACGTTGTATTGAAATAAGCTTTGTCCAAATTGTGCATTCTATAATGGTAGTAAAGTAACCATTTTTCTGTTAAATATTTATTTGTTTGCAATGGAAGTGCAAAATTCTCAAATAGGGTAGTGTGGATTTCAGTGCAGTGTTAAACAATGTAATAAATTAGCCTCAGCGAACTTGTAAACCGGTAGTCTATCCTCAGATATCTGACTGTAGGAGCAGAATCCTTGTGATGTCAATAAATTTTGAATTCTTTTATTCAGGGAACAACTTAAGACAAAGATATGAACATTGGTACCTCTCCAAGGCTTAACTGAAGTTTGGAATGTGGAGGCTGAATAATACATACTAATTCCATTTATTTGAAAATGGTTGTATACAATTCTTGTATGAATTCTTCACAATTTTATATTTTAATTAATCATATTGAAGTTAGTATCTTGAAGCTAGTTGTTTGTATCTCTCTCATTGGTAGCCAATATACCTGCATCTCTAATATTTCCTTACCAAGAAAAGAACACTTCTAGAAAATGTTCAAATTGTTCTGCCAGTTTTAGCTACACAATACTGTCCTGCAATATGATATACTAGATTAGCCAGATAGCATCCTAACTTGATGCTCTTTAAATTACACAATCAGAGAGACTAGCTGGGCTGCTCAGTTCTCTATGCCATGGAGTGAGAAGCCACATAACTCCACATCTTTTTCACTTTCATAAATGTATCTCAGCGTTTCTCAATAGGTTTGCTTCTAAGTGTGTACATAACACAAATCAGAAGATGGAATTATTCCAGATTTTGCAATAGTGAAAAAAAATCATCAGTTAATAGCAATAATAAGAAATACTTTTTCAGTCAGTTGGGGATGGAACTAAGTTTGTCAGTTTTCTGTTTCTGCATTGCTAAAATACATTTTGACAAATTTTTGTTTAGTTTTGTTCATTCTTTAGTAAGCAAAAGAAATCTCATGTATCATTATTTCCAAGCATCTCAATATTATAGATTTCTGCATATTTCATGTCTTTGAAAGCCAGTGCAACACTGTACAGACTGGCAAACTTAAATTCCATGCACTTGAAAAATGCTGTTGACAGACAGATGCAATACACTTACATATTGTGAATAAACATCTGTCCTCTAATGTGAACATATTGCAAAATATTACTAATTTTACCTGCTGATTTATGTCATATTGATATGACATGTTAATTTCACATGTCCATATTTAAAATATTTAATATTATATAAACTATACAAATTTTATAAATGTGTATAAATATTTACTATTATATACATTTTCTAAATTT